GTCTCTTCTTGTCTTATGCTTGACATAGACAGACAGGTCTTTCCACGTGAATTTCCAGCGTTTCCTCCATGACATGGCCATTACAAAGAGCCTTATTTCCCTTTTGTAATTGATGTAAATAATGTATTTTTAACTGATTGAAATTACAGCAGAGGAAGTAAGGCACTATGATGCTGTTGGGGGCAAAGCTGGGAACTCTGATGGGGAGATCTCAGGGATGGGGTCAGGGCCGGATTTACTCTCTCTGCTGCCCCAAGGCCAGGTTCCTCAATGCACCCCCCTTTCCGCCAAACCCCCCCCTAATGGAGATTTGCAGACGTGCAGGCTACATACAAGTGATCTCGGCAACATCACCGAGATCACTTGTACAAAACAAGCGGCTGCTTCCCCGCTGTACATTTAGCTCTGCTTGCCCAAAGCAGGGCTAAATGTAGAAAACAACTACCGGCCCGGTGCCCGGAACTGCATTTCCCAGGCATTGTGAGATAGGAATTCCACACCCCTGCTGCCCCTCTACTCCCTGCTGCCCCGAGGCTGGGCCTTGGTTGACCTTGTGGGAAAGCCGTCCCTGGATGGGGTCTGTTAGAAATCTAAGAAACCTGGTACTGTGTTCATTCTACCAGTATTTACTCATAAATGTCAGCTATGATTGAACAGTTTGAGTGGACTTAATCTCTAAATAGAAACATAACAGTTGCATTATCTTGAAGACACCATTCAAACCTGAGCGTTTTGTAGCTTGAGGCTACAAAGCACTCAGTATTAAAAATTCCATTGTCTTCTATGGTGCCTGTTTACTTGTGAGTGCTCAAGCGCCTGTAGCAAAATACCTGTTGCTATGAAAACTACTGGGGGCTCCTCTACAGCCCTTAGCACTTTGGCCCCATAGACTTTAATGGGAGCACCATAAAAATGCTTGAATTGTTCACGCTTAGATCATTAGTCCGAGACCAGGAGCTGTTGATGAGAGCTTGGTCTTTGTTCTGGGAGCGTGCGATTGAGTGTGTTCCCAGCGCAAAAACATGCAGCACCACAGAAAAAAATCCACCTGTGTGATGCCACATACATGTGTTACGTCAGTGGGAAAAGGGTTAAGTAACCAACAGAAAGAATAGGACCTCATAAAGGCTGGGGTAAGTTTACAGAACAAGGCACTTAAAAGCAGAGATCTTGACATTGGAACTCCCAAAGGACTCTAGAAACCATCAGATGGTTTAACTCACTTTAATTATAGATATAGTTCCACTTTTACTTATAGGGACACCGTCAGTCACAAAAAAAAAAAAAGGTTCCAGCTAAAGGTTTCCTGCAATAAGAGAGGGATTTTTCCCATCTCTCCATCAGCCCATATGGCTTACCTTTGCTCTACTACTTATATATACATAATACTAAAACTGATGCTCCAAGACCTGAATCGAGTCCGGATTTCCGAATAGCATTCGAGGGCTCCCGAATGCCATATGGGTCTGGAAGCTTTAATAAAATGGCTCTCAGACCCGTATTGCTTTCTGGAGCTCCCGAGTGGTATTCAGAAATTCGGATCCAGAATACCATTCGGGTCTAAGAGCTTCAGCTTTAGTATTAATATCTGCATATGGTTTTCTGTGGTATTCACAGCAAATATTCATAAACTCATCCGAAACTAACGAAAATCCGCATTTCGTCCGAATCTGAAACCTGAACCGAACTGAATTTCAGATCCGAATCCCGAATTGCAAAATAACGAAATATCCGAACCGAACTTTTCTGCAGCTTACATGTCTATTGGCCTCATCCAATCTAGTTCTACCTGCCACTACATGAATTAAAAAAAGGAAAAATATTACTTGGAAATGGATAATTAAAAAAAATATATCAACATTATTGCCTTAAAATAGGTCATTTTAAGGCAAAACCAGCTTTTCCAACGACACTTTGGTCATCCCTATTATCCTCTACAGATAAATGCCAGTTTTATATTGTAGGCTTACATGGACATTCACCCAAGTTGACAATAGGTTGTTTTTCTTCCAGTATGTGGAGCCACTCCACATGGTGGGTGCTCTGAATCAGCAATGTGATCGTTTTAAGACTCATCATTTCTCTTTTTGGAAAGTCTAATTTGTATACATTCCCAGGAAGCCTTGTCTAAAGTCTTTCTCCTTGAACCATTGCAATATAGTATAGATGCCTAACTGGATGATGTAAGGTATACGGTAAAATGGAGATACTTACTTGGAAAGTCTTCATCTTCACATATCCTTAGTCTTCCGTTTGGGCTGTTGTGTCTCCATGGTCCGCGAAACTAGACTGGCCTTCCGTCATTTCAGTCTTGTGAATAGTTGGTGTTTCTGTCCCACCATCTTGGCCATCATGTGCTTCTTCTTGTTGTGCATCTTTCTCTTTTTCCACATCAACTACTTGAGTGACCTCATCCCCTTCATGAGCTCTTTCCTCCCGCTCCTGCCCCTGGCTGACTTCCTCCGTTTTTGTTTTATTGTCAACACATAAATCATCAGCTTGTTGGTTTGTTTCAGAAGTTTCATCGTTGTTCTCTATCTGCTCCACTAGAGTGACCGCATGTTCCCCTTCACCGCCCTCTGCATGTTGATTGTCACCTGTGGGTTCAATGTTTTCTCTCATTTCAGACTCCTGAACGTCTTCACTATTGCCAGGTGCACTTGCATCATTATTCCCATCACAAGGGGCATCAACATTTGTATCATCGCCAGGATGTCCATTTACTTCAACTCTTTCATCAGTCGAAGCTTCATCTTTATACTCTGCAACTTCATCCCCTGTTGCATCAGCCGCACTCATAGCTCTGAGACCTTCTACATTCTCCTCATTCACCTCACCAAGTGTTACTTCATTCTCCACTTTCACCTCACCAGGTGCTGCTTCACTCACCACACTTTCATCAACAGGCACTTCTACATCTGTCATACCAGGCGCTACTTCATTCTTCACATCCCCCCCACCAAGTGTTTCTTCATTCTGCACATTCACCTCACCAGGTACTTCCTTATTCTCCACATCTGCCTCACCAGGTGCTTCATCATTCTTCACATCCTCTTCACTAGTTGCTGCCTGATTCTCTATATTTACATCAACAGGTGTTTCTTCATTGTCCAAATTTACATCAGCAGGTGCAGCTTCATTCTTTACATTCACATCAATGGGTGTTTCTTCATTGTCCACATTTACATCGGCAGGTGCTTCTTCTTTGTCCATGTTTACATCTCCAGGTGTTTCTTCATTATTCACATTCACACCAGCAAGAGCATGTTTATTCTCCACAATCACACAGCTAGATACTTCATTATTCTCCACACCCACCTCAGCAGGTGCTCCTTCATTCTCTACATTCACCTCAGCAGGTGGTCCTTCATTCTCCACATTCTGCTCAGCAGGTCCTCCTTCATTCTCCAAATTCACCTCAGCAGGTGCTTCTTTGTTCTCCACAGTCATCTCAGTATATGCTTCTTCATTCTCCACATTCTGCTCAGCAGGTGCTTCTTCATTCTCCACACACACCTCAGCAGCCACTTCTTTATTCTTAGCATTTACATCTTCCTTCTCCACATTCACATCACTAGTGTCTTCTTCATTCTCTACATTTACATCATCAGGTGCCTTTTCAGCCTCAGCATTTGCATTAGCAGGTACCTCTTCATTTTCAGCATTCGCATCAGCAGATGCCTCTTCATTCTTAGAATTTACATAATCAGGTGTTTCTTCAGTCTCTGCAGTCACATTACTATTTGCATCTTCATTTTCAACATTGATATTCCCAACAGCTGTTCCTTCATGATCACCAATTACACCAGCAGATTCTTGTTCATTTTCAACAAATGTCTCACCAGATACTTCTTTATTCTCATCGTTCATCTCGCTAGATGCATTTGCATTCTCTTCCTTTGTGTCATCATGTGTTTCTTCATTTTCAGCATTCACATCTCCAATTGCAGTTCCACTATCCATATTCAGATCACCAGATGCAGGAGCGTCCTCATCCTCTATTGTTACCTCAACAGGTTCTTCTACTGGCTCAGCATTCACATCAGCAGATACTTCTTCATTCTCCACATTGACCTTATTGGGCACTTCCCCAGTCTCTGCATTCACATAAGCTGGTGCCTCTTCACTCTCCACATTCACCTCATCATGTACATCTACAGCCTCAACATTCACATCATCGGGAGCTTTTTCATTGTCAACATTTAAATCACCAAGTGCTTCTTCATTCTCAACATTTAGCTCTTCAGGAGCTTTATCATTTTCTGTATTTTCAGCAGCAGGTGCCTCTTCATTCTCCACATTCACATCAGGAGGTGTTTCAAAATTTTCATCATTAGGTACTTCCTCAGCTTTAACATTTTCATCACCAGGTACTTCCTCAGCTTCAACATTTTCATCATCAGGTACTTCCTCAGCTTTAACATTTTCATCACCAGGTACTTCTACAGCATCAATATTTTCATCACCAGGTGCTTCCTTGTTTTCAACATTTTCATCATCATGTGATGTCTCGTTTTCAACATTTTCATCACTAGGTCCTTCCTCCTTCTCCACTTGAATATCAGAAGATACAACTTTATTCTCCTCATTCCCATCCCTTGGTGCTTCATTATCCAGACTGACATCAGGATATGTGTCTATGTTTTCAACATCATCAGGTGCTTTTCCATCCCCTGTACTGATGTCAATAGTTGCTTCTTCATTCTCTGCATCCTGTGGTTTATCATCCTCCCCATTCATGCCAGCAGATGCATCCACCTTGTCAACTATTTCTTCTGCAAGAGCTTCCTCACTCTCCCCACTGATGTCAGCATGTGTTGCATCATACCCGACAATCTCATCAGTAGTTGCCTCCTCATTCTCTGCTTTGGCATCAGCACTTTCTTCACTTTTGTCTGCATATACATTAGCAGGTGCTTCTGCATTCTCCACTTTGGCATCAGGACTTTCTTCAGCATGCTCCACGTTCTCATCAGCAGGTGCTTCTTCATTCTCCACATTTATTTCAGCACCCTCAACAATGAGGTCACCAGATGTCTCTTCATTCTCATTATTTACGTCATCAGATTTGACCGTCTCCTCTTCAGGCTTTAGGACTTCTTGTGTTTCCAGTTGTTCTACTGCAGAACTTGGTAGAGTTTCTGCCATTTTATCATCTTCAGGATCTGTTTTTATTTCACAACCAAGCCCTACTGCTTCCTCTTTACCAATGTTCTCTTCCAAACCTTCATCCTCCTTGGTGTTATTTAATTCTGCATCGTCTGCTTTTAAATCGAAGGGTATGGATTCTTCTGAAAGATATTCACTTGGTATTTCAGCTTTTTCCTCAGACGTTTCTTGATCTAAATCTCCTGCTGCCTCTTTTATTTCATCTTCGGTGTCAGCTTTGAAATCTTTCTCAGCCTCTACATGTTTCGAATCCACACTATCTTTGACTTCTGTTTCATCTTGCTCTTGTCCAGATTCTTGCTCTTTTACTGAAGCCTCATCTTGAGTATCTTGAATGGTACTTTCAGTCAAAACTGTGAAAAGAATATTTGAAAGATAAGTACATTTTTGAATAATTGCTGACACCAGTACAACACAATTTAATTCCAGGAAATGGAATATACCTTACTATGGTGCTTAGAGCAGAACGCCGGCCAAAAATAACAAGATAGGAATGAATTGCTCATTAAGAGATACAATAAAGAAACCAGTTTTTGCAGCAATAAACACCTTCAATCCAGAGATTTCCCCCGCTGTACTTTTTCTGCCACTAGATGTCCTCAGTCTGATGGCAAGTATCATTCAACCTACCTCTGAGCCCAGGTCCTCCTGGACCAACCCCCTGGCCTATGACTGGACAGTAATGGGAGAAGTAGCACACTGATGAGCTCCCAGATAGCAAGCAATTGAGCTGCAAGTTTGAAAATGACTTGCTAGAGCATTGCAGACTAGCCAAGCTTCACAATTTTGTTGCACAATTACAGCAAGTCTGCATTGCAAGTCTCCAGATCAACGTGCTTTGCAAAAGTGCTGAACACTTGCAGAGCTCTTGCTAAGACCTGCAGGACTCTTGCTGTAGACTTGCCAAGCAAATTTGCTACAAATTCAAAAAGTGTCAACTAGAACTTGTGCTGCGAGTGTTCTGCAAGTCTACAACTTGCCAGGAATATGTGCAGCAAGTTAACAAGAATTACATTTGAACCCTCCCACATGTTTGTGGCAAGTTGTCCTTGCTATCTGGGCTCATCTCTGTCTCTCTGATTTCTCCTACTAGAAGCTTGCTTCTTTTCAGCACATGAACTGACTGGATCCTTAGACTACTTCTTCCTCTCACACTCTACCTCTGCTGTACTGCAAGACGCTGATTTCAGGTCAAATTGAGGTAATTACATTGCTTGCATTGCAAAAATACATTTAAAAGTATATTAGAGGAGAATTATGGGGAGAGTGAAATAAACTCTTCCCTGTAATTAGAGCCAATGCGTGACATTGGATTGACTTTTGTCTAATGGACATGTTGGAAAATTGTGGGGCAAACAGTTCTTCCGGCCATTCAGCTCCAAGCACTGCTCAGGTTTACTCTCAGATCACAAAAGACGCAGAAAGAGATTCATCCATCCACACTGTTAACATGGATGGAGGAATCTTTCTGATTTTTTTCGTTGAGCCTCGCAGGCTGAACAAAAAAAATCTATTTGTGTGTACCTAGCTTCAGCTTTGGCAACACCAGGTGCCAAAACGATGATGACCATTTCCCTTTAAAGACTTTGAAAATTATAATGTGAATAAACATTTGTACATACCAGAAACTGCCTCCAGAAAGTACCCTCCTCCTAAGCTATAACTATATTTGCAATGTAATTGGACCTCATTTGGTCAACTAATTTAAATCAACTTCCTCAAAGCAATCCTTACCTGCACTTTGAGTTGAGGGAGTGTTGCAGACATCTTCTACATGAAGGGTGGAGGTGTCAGTCATTATGCAAGAGCAATGGGCAGATAGAAATTTGCTGTGAAGAACCACTAGCCACCCCCTTGCCCATAAACATACACTCTCCCTTAGAGACGCCTACAAGGGGGCAATGCAGAAAGCAATCTTGTCCCTGCAAGGAAAACAACTGGTCCATGGCTCAAATGCAGAGGGACAAGTGGGCTATTTGGAGACCCAGAAATGAAAACCTTATTCAATAGATATATTTATAGAAAAAAAACTAGCCCTTGTACTTTATACTTATATCATTTTTGGTGTGGAAAATTGTGAAGTATTTAAGATTCTGGGCTACGGTTTAGACATGTAAATTTAGTTTAGTTCCGAATGGGTATTCGTATGGATTTAGTTAAATTTAGACATTCTGATGCATCCAAATTGTAAAGTAGCCACCACTCCAAGATCATTCCAATGATTGACTACAATCTCCTGTTTAGTTTACTAATTTGTATTGAGATTGTAGTCCATCACAGGAGCGAGCTTGGAGCGGTGACTACTTTACAGCACACACCCAGGGACCATGGGGAACAAAAGTAGCCCCCCTCCAGAAGGAAGGACAGTGTGAGCACCAATTCAGAGATGATTTGAGGATCTACAGCCGAGTGATACACAAATAAGATACATTGTTGTTAATAGTTAAAAGTGAACTATGTGGTAAGTAGACTTGTGCGCCGTGAAAAAATTTGTTCCGTTTCGTTTCGTTCCGTTTCGGAATATCCGTTATTTCGTAATTCGTGTCCGAAACTCAATTCGGATTCGTACGAAATATGAATTTTCGTTAGTTTAGACACATTTTCGTAACTGTACGAACATTCGTTATGATGAAGTTAAAAAGCAAAAATACCTTTGTTAATATTTGAGTCGATGTGGTAGTTGTTTTTTTATCCGAAATACGAATTCCGTTAACGGATTCCGGATCCGAATTTCGTATTTCGGATAAAAAAACAAAAAAAAAATACCATCAACTCTAGTATATTAACAAATTTACTTTGCTTTTTAACTTCAATATAACGAATGTTCGTAACGGAACGAAATTCCGTCAACGGAATTTCGTATTTCGGAAAAAAAAACAAAAAAAAAATACCATCAACTCTAGTATATTAACAAATTTACTTTGCTTTTTAACTTCAATATAACGAATGTTCGTAACGGAACGAAATTCCGTCAACGGAATTTCGTATTTCGGATATAATTCGGAAACTGCAATTCGGATTTCGGATGCTTCTGAATTTACGAATTTCAGGAAAATTCGTACGAATTTCGATTTGTAACGAAACGAATCGCACATGTCTAGTGGTAAGTGTTTTTCCCCATAGTTCTCTTTAGGGTCACTGGAAGGACATATACTAGCCTCATCCAGTGACCCAAAGCTCAGTATATTGCGGGCTATTGCCCACGATATACTGGGAGTGCTGCAGCCGGGACAGATCCCAACAATGCTGTCTGGATCCACCCAGCTGCTTGATTGACAGCTTGCTCTGCCTATCTAGAGGCAGAGCCAGCTGTGCCCGCCCCCTCCCTGTCCGTTCCTCCAGTCATCGCTGGAGAATCAGAGAGGGGAGGGGGAATCCCTACGGGGAACGGTGACTGACAGTGACCGCTCTCTGCAGGGAGATGATCGGGAAGTGAGCGAGCGACGGCATGTGTTCGCTCACTTCCCGATCAATAGAGCCGACCTGTGACAGCTTCTTTGACACGGGTCGGCTCTAAATATGAGGATGAGTGGAAATCACTCAAAGTTCTCCTTTAAGGTACTTGAATGACTTTTTAAGGTTTAACTTAGTGTTACTTTAACCTAGCTATAGATATTCTAGTTTTCCTCTCATTATCTCTCTGAGCTTCATCCTGATTCTTCTTTCATATAAACCCAACAATATATTACTGAGTTATTGAAAGTCCTAATTATCTGTTCAAATATAAAATCATGGGGCATGGAGTGTCTCATCATCTGGAGTAGTTAGCCTAAAGTATTTGAATTAATGTTTAGAGTGCCTTCTCCTCATTTCACCTTTCCTCACAAAGCTCCTAGTGGCCATTAGAGAGGATGCTTGGTTATTTCACATTGTGGCAGCATTACTAAATGTAAATGGCAAATTATCTTTTTTAAGATTAGCTTGTTAGCACAAAAACACAACAGGCATGTAGTGCAGGAAGGGATAAGGAAACATTTATCGGACTGGGAGGAGATGGATGGATTTGAATGGTGGATAGATTTAATTGGGCCAGGATGGTTGGGAAGGGTAGATGGATCATGTTGTAGAGGGTGGGCAGAAAGTTATACTGGGTCAAGGTGGGGAAAGAAAATGGTGATTCGAGATTGGATTAAGGAAAAGATTTAAGCAGGAAGATCAAGCAAAGATGAAGAGAATGGTAAGGAAATCAGACACGTGTGGAAAGATGGGGCTGGCAATTCATTAGGGCAAACTAAGGAGAGCTGGTATGTGAACAAATAGAAGTAGAGAAGGATATCATGCAAGTTATAACATTGGGCTAAAATGGAAAGAGCATTTCAGCAGTTTTTGGGGAGGTTGGGGAGGATAGGCAACTTGGTGGTGTCACCCCACAATATGGCTGGTGCCTACTGCTCCTTCCAAGTGGCCCCCGGAATAGATTAATACTGGCGTTATTTACAGTGTGGAGAGCTGCATTGGGCACAAATACAGCATATCTATAGAAAAACTGTTGTTTGACTCTTCGCACCCATACGGTAAGATTTGCTAAATGACAACATGAGTGCCTGGTGCAGAACATTTATAGAAATGGTGGTACGTGTGCTTTCTTGGATTTGCAGAGCATGTATGGGACTTGTAATGTGAGTGATGTTTGAGCGATGGTTAGTTTGCTGTCACTAATGAGTTACTATGGGGAGCAAGCTTATGTGTGGGGCTTATGGAAACCAGGTGAGGTCTGAGCTGGATCTGGAACCCTGTGAAATGCACTCTCTGCACTGTACTTTATATACAAAACAGAGGCTGATCTATAAAAAGTTCTGCCTGGTGCATAGCACGGCACTGGCGCCCCTAGATGGTGCTGACGAGTATAGGAAATGCCCGGGAATATAAATGAACACCTACATTTACACCAAATCAGTGCTCTAATCCAACATTTTTGGATGCACAAATGGCTACAGGGAAATATACGAATATATTCACTGACTCTTTCCTCTGACCTAAGATGTGGAATATACACCTTGTTTTGGATATGTGATGGAAGTGATTTGAGACCTGAAAGAGGTTTGAACCCTACTATACTCTCATAATAAAAGTGTTTCTCTTGCTGTTTGCGTTATTTTGGAAAAATTCTCTTCATTGCCTGTCCTAGTCACACAATAGGAAGTGAAGAAAAAAGTTCCCCACTGTGGGCACAGTTGAGCAGGTGGTAGATCACTACTATTTGCATGAAGAAATGTTCCCTTCTCATTCTCTTCATTCAGATACATGAGTTGTTTTTTCAGCACAGGAGTCCACCCAGGGGCGTAACTGGAAATCACAGGGTCTCATAGCAAAATTTTGTATGGGGTCCTGTGATTTCTAGTTACGTCCCTTGCAGAGCCCACCTGAGATCCCAAACAGATCACCTGAGAATAACCCTGCAGAGCTCACCATAGACTCTATGGTGGACTCTTCAGGGTCTCAGGTGGGCTGGTCACACCCCTGCACACCTCTTACCTGTCAGCCTGATCCTCTGTCAGCCTCCTCCTCCTGCGCAGGGCCCCGCCTCCTCTTCCATCACCGGGCCCTGTCTCCTCTTCCATCGCCGGGCCCCTCCTCCTCTGACGTCACCGGCCCCACCTCCTCTTCCGTTGCCGGGCCCCGCCTCCTCGGCGCTGCCGACGCCGGACCCAGCATCCTCCGCCACAGCTGCTGGCTGTCACTGACAGGTTATCAGTGATGTGTGCAGTGGCATGTTCCTCCTCACACCCACCAGTGACAGCCAGCAGCCTGAGATGCCATAGCGACCCAGGCGGCCAGCACGGCATCACGGGGATGTCCTGGCCAGGCCGAGCCCTGTGCCCCATAGCGGCCACCTGGGTCGCTATGGCGATTGTTACGCCACTGAGTCCACCATTTCTTTCTTTAATTAGGAGTTTTGGAATCTGTTCATTTCTGTATTGGGGAAAGGTTCCTTATTGCTCCTGAACAGGTTGCATTCATTTCAGTGAATCTAACCTGCTCGAGAACAATATGAGACTTCGCCTATAATATATAGAGAACGGATCAGCATATAGATAAACCTGAACTCCACAATAAGCTAATATTGTTTAAATACAAGAGCCATGTGTATTCTTGTTTCTCTTCCAGATCTGTGCAATAATCTGTGCAGGAGCTTCCTGTAAAAAAGACCTGTCACTGCTGCTCTCTCTCCTTGTGCAGGGTGACTGGTCTTGTATCCGCCCCTTCTCTAAGTGGGCCTGCTGGGTCCCTCCCACAGTTCTGCTCTCTGCACAGGCTATGTGCAGCACAGTGATGATATCACCACTAATTTTATAAGAAAATATTTTTGTTTGCCAAAGCATTTGGTGCACACAGAGTGGATTTACATCCTTTGTGAGTATTTACGAATTTATTTAAACAAATGTTTTTGTGCCTGGAGTTCAGCTTTAAATATCATGGGGGAGGTCAGCTCTATTTAAATATTTCTATATTTTTTAGATACAGTTTTTATTGTATTTTAGACAGTTTATAAAAGATTAATGAGACTGAGTATTCTTTCACTCTATTGTATAAATATTATATATATGCTATTGGTTTTTTTTCTCTTTATCACAGATCTGGTTCTTTAAAGCTGGTGGGAATTTGTACTGTTATACTGTGTATGCTAGCTCGTACTTTATTCTTGACCCCTACATGCTGCATTCTGTGCCATTATGCACTTCTAACCCCTGCACTCTATGTCACACACTCCTGACCCCGGCACCCTGTACATCAGGTATTCCTGACCCAGCACCCTGTGCATTGCTTATTCCTGACCCCTGAACCCTGTGCATTACTCTTTTCTGACCCCTGCACCCTGTGCACTACATATTCCTGGCCCCTGCACTCTGTGCATTATTAATTCTTGGCCCCTGCAATCTGCATCACACACTCCTGACCACTGTACTATGCGTCATACACTCCTGACTCCTGCACTCTGTGCATTACTTATTCCTGATGACTGCACTCTGTCACACTTGTCTGACCCCTGAATTCTGTGAGTTACACTCACAACCCCTAGCAGAATAGGCTCAGGTTTTTTTTGTAACCATATCTCTTTAAGCCCCTCCCACTGTTTAGAGCAATTTCTCCACACCCACAATTCACCACAGTGCACTACAGGCACCTCATCTTTTATCTACTCGAAGATCTTGTTCCAAAAGTCTGTTACCAGTTGTTTCAGGGCGTGTTAAAAATCAAGGTGGGATTTTGTGGGTGTAGTTACAAATAGGGATGTGATTTGTGGGTGTGGTTAAAAGTAGCCCTGGTCATTAATGTGTCTCTGGATTTCATTTTGAAAATCTGGTGACCTTAATTTGCAGACGGTATTGGAAGTCCGTGTAACAGGATGCCGAAGCACAATTGGGAAACCGGGATTGAGCATTGTCATCATACAGCAGGAAGTGCCTGAACAAGGACCGTCATGGCAGGATCACCAGGGGTTATTTTAATGAAAGCTGCAGATTTCAGATTATTAAATCTTAGGGTTGCACCTATACCAGTTTCTCTGTATCAAGTACGAGTACAAATATTTTTTTTATCAGTACTTGTTGGTACCGAGTACCGATACCGGCATCCCGAGGTACTGTGGGCCCAACTTCCCAGCCAATAAGGATGCCGGGTGGCGGGTCATGACCTGCTGCCGGGCTTCCTGATTGGTCAGAAAGCCTGGCTGGCCCGCAGTGTTGCTCGGCAGCGTGAAGCTGGGTTTCCAGCCAATAAGGAAGCCGGACGGGAAGTCATTACCTGCCGTCCGGCTTCCTAATTAGTCAGGAAGCCTGGCTGGCCTGCAGTGTCGCTAGGCAGCATAAGGCCGGCTTCCCAGCCAATCAGGAGGCCCGTCCCGGTGCTGCCGGTCACTACCTAAGTCTTCAGAGTAGCATACAAAAACTTACCCTCTCCCATCTCAACATGTTTCACCACTTGAAGTGACTTCATCAGGGGACTTTCATTTCACCACCTACTTTAAGTGCTCAGGGTAGCATACAAAAACTTACCCTCTCCCATGTGAACATGTTTCACCACTTAATGTGACTTCAACAGGGGACTTTCACTTGCACATTGTAACATACAGAGTTTCTGTATGTTACTTTGAACACTCGGGAGAACTGAAAGTCCCTTGCTGAAGTCACAATAAGTTGTGAAACAAGACGGGATTGGAGAGAGAATATTTTAGAGCACAATGTACTTCAATCAATGATTGGTTAAGAGTTGAGAGATGAAATAAATAAAGGCAAAAATGAAAGATGTGAAGGGGGAGGGACAAATATTATCCCCAAAGCCAACAGAAAATATTATTTGATGAAAAATGAGATTGAGAAGGAGCATTGAGATCAGTGAATGGATTCAAGGATTCAGTGAACTGTTCAAGATTCTAAACTTTAAATATAAATAATAAAACTTAATATAACTATATCATAGTGTGCCCAGCAGTGGGTCAGGATACATGGGCAGGTATCTAATCCTTATATAGGTTCTTTTGAAACTAGTTATATGCCTATGTAGCCATCTTACGTTTTTGGGCGTTGGTCATTCCTTTTAAGTTGTCCTCTTCGTCCGTGCTTGAGTCGCTGGGCTCTGGCTCCGAATCAGCCATTTCTTTGCCGTCCATTGCCTCCGCTATTTTCTCTTGAACCGATTTGCAATAGACTTTTTTTTTTATGATGATTGCAAACAGGAAGCGGCAAAGCAAGCAGGGGTAGCAGCAGACTCCAAGCAGATGATTCAAAAGCCAATCCATGCCATAGAAAAAGCATGCACAATAATTACCTGGATAATGCATTGTATAGATTGTTTGCATGTATGGTCATACGTAATAGTAATAATAATGAATAGAGAGAGAGATTTGAGGAGAGCTCCAGTCAAAAACACACCAGGGAATATTATGTTGTGTGGTTATCTGTTGGTTGATGTGCTAATTGCCCAAAAACTGCCTGTTCAAAGCCAGTGTCCAGCCTTGGACTCCAATACAGGATGGAAAGAATTATTGTGTGGACAATGCCCCTTCCCCTCGTTCTTTGCCTAGGCATGCCAAGCAGTGCAGGTCAGTTGAGACGTCTGTATGTTATCCCAGTAAAGGGTGGATACCGGCACTCCAAAGAGAATCCAGTACGTATTTATTCACATACTAGTTGCAAATAGAACACTATATACAACGTTTTGGGGTCTCACAGGATAGCCTTCATCAGGCAAACAAGTGATCCCAATCACATTTACATCACTATTGGAAGGATGATGGTTAAGTAAGTAGTTTACATTTCATAAATATCCTGGTGATTTTTGTTATGATTGGGGATCTCCTTTGAAGTCAACCTAAAATTTCATTTTTGCATTATTGTTGTTTAGTGTAATCACATGATCTCTATCTCTCGGGGACACCAGTGGTGAGATAATTCTCAGTTCTGACAAATCACCAGTATAAAATGGGATGATGGTGTCCCCCCTTCCTACCTGGCTCATTACAAGATTTTTTTAGATGGAGAACGCTCAAAAACTTAAATGGGAAATTTCATCACTGGAGTGCTGACAGACATAAGAAGCTGGCGGACGATTCTATTCATCGGGGGTTCAGCTATACCTGAAACTCTGGTTTTGAGCGGAGTTGGCTTTTATGAAGCTGTATGCAAAGACAAACATTTCTATTAGTTTTGGATGCAGTAGGTACGAGTTAGACCTCTTGTCAAGTTGTGTTATTGCTGTCTGTGTAGATCCACCACTTTGGTGACCATCGTTAGCAAGACAGAAAGTGAGGTATAATCCCAAAAAAATTAAGTTGTCGTCAAATCAAGAAGTGATGAAAAATCCTCTAATAGGGGCATCTCTTCTTATGACAACAGGGAAATCTCTCTAGGACAGGAAGTGAAGGGAAATTCCTCAAGGACAGAAAGTGAAGGGACATCTCTCTAGGGCAGGAAGTGACAGGAAATCTTTCTAGGACATGAAGGGAAATCTCTCTAGGACATGATGTGAAGGGAAGTCTCTTTAGGGCATGAAGTGAAGGGCAAAAAAACTCCCCAGGACAGAAAGCAAAAAAAAATATCTCTAGGACATAATGTGACAGGAAATCTCTCTAGGTCAGGAAGTGAAGGGAAATCGCTTTAGGACAGAAAGTGAAGGAAAATCTCTCAAGGACAAAAAGCTAAAGAAAAGCTCTCTAGGACAGAAAGTGACAGGAAATCTCTCTAGGAAAGGAAGTGAAGAGAAATATTTCTAGGATAGGAAGTGAAGGGAGGTCTCTCTAGGACAGGAAGAGAAGGGAAGTCTCTCTAGGACAGGAGGAGAAGGGAAGTATCTCTAGGATACCAGGTCACAGACAGCAAAAATAACTTGATAGGGATTAAATACTTACTTACTCTTTCTAAAACTAGAAAAAAAATTTGGCTTCACCTACACTTTAAAAGCAAGTGTGGTGGTTTGTGCACAGTATACACTCTATATGTGTATATACTTATATATTTATAGATGCCACTCATTAAGGAGCCATTTCACAAACAGTTGCTAATTTTAATGTCAGCAGTACAGTGTATTATATTTTATTATAATATTATATTTTAGAATACAGAATGTCTGCCAATTAATTTTTGGGTCTCACAAGGATAAGGAACTCTAATTAAATAACATGAGTGACTCCCAACATAACCCAACAGCAGAATGGATTGCCTATGTTTGCCTTTTGGTACCCAATTTAATGAAAGTTTCTAATACAAGGCTTTAAGTAGATAGAAATGTCATATTATATTACAGAGATATTCGCACACCTATGTTTGTAGACCAGTGTGATGTTTGTGGTTCATTTATTCAGTGAAGATGTTTTATATATTTTGTGTTATATACTTCCTTTTTCTTTAGTTAGACACATTAATATTTAGAAACGTTTTAGCCTTCATACACAGATTTATGGGGTGCCGGCTTAGTCTTGGCCGAAACATTAAAATTTAACAATGAAACTTCTGGACTGGTAAGGAGATTGCATGACAGGTGCTATTTAGTCAAATCATGTCTTAAACCATGACATACTGTACCTTGCTAACCAGTGAAGAACTAAAAATCAACATGCCTATTGTGTGTGTGTACCCTTGTAAACATCAGTGAGAAGAGAATCATTTTTAGCAAGCATTTGCATGGCATGAAGCTGAACCCTGATCAAAGCTTGGTAAAAGCCTGCTGAGGTCTGCTAAAAGCTTGTAAGCTGCAGCCAGCTGTATCTGACATTTCCAGGCTGACTTTACGGAACTGCTCAAAGTTTTATCTATGTTTTGTATATAGTTGCTTATTCAGATACCCTTTAGGCCAGTATTTACAATCTTATATCAAACCATGCCCGAGTGTATGAAGGCCTAACATGAACATGTGATACAAACCTAGACATGTCAAATGGAACACAGGATGAAACAATATCTAAGTGCAGGATAGGCCTGTGAAAACCTAAAAATAATTATTAGTTTCAGATATACAGACAGTTGAAGTTATCTGCAAGTCTCAGCTTTCCCTTTTTAAATCTTAGCCCTCCCCCCTTCCACCTCTCAAGCTTCCTCAATGGTTAATGAGACAAGCAATTGTATTAAAAGACCAGTAGGGAGGCTAAAGCTGACTGAACTGAAGTTAAATGCAAATTTTGACTTTGAAGTGAAGCACGGTCCCGACCCTCTGTTTCCTTTGTATTCAGCCACTGTGGCAATGCCTGAACAATGCATGGATCCGCCGACATCAATGATCCCATACATTGCTATCGGGACCGTTCATGCAACCGCGCGGGTCCGCGAAATCCGAACCGCCCCCCACCCCGAACTGCTCCCTGCACTATTTTTGCCGCGCTGATCAGTGCGGTTTCCAAATAGATTTCAATGGAACCGCGCTAATCAACGTGGTTTTAGACGTTTTTTATTGCGTTTCAGCGCTGAAACGCAATTAAAAACTCCCAAAACCTTCCTTGCGAGATCATTGGCTGCCGGCTATGTTTGTTAAAAGATTTCCCGACCGGCTTTTTCGATCAGCTAATCAAGGGATGCTGGCTGAAAGGCTGCCGGCAGCGGCACCTACTGTGTGAATGTTGGGCCTGTTCCTGAAGAACCAGCAGAATTCCCATAATGTATTGCCAGTTTTAGGAAGATTAGGGGTCGGGACCAAGCTTCACTTCAAAGTAAAAATTTGCATATAACTTCAGTTCCATTATCTTTGGATGTTCTGATAGTGTCAGTGCCATTATGCCTTAATTCATCAAGTGCCCCAGTCAGTGGCAGGCTTACTTTAAAGGATGAACTCTGGGATTGTGAAAAATTAACCCTTGCAGTGAGACTATCCTGCACTGCAAGGGTTAACAGCTAATTTTTCTCTAGGGAAGAAACTAAAGCAGAAATACGCCCCCCAATCCTCGGTCCTGCAGCAGTGACTGCTCACCTCTCTCCCCCTCCGCTCCGGTTGGGGCGCCTAATAGGCCTGAATTAGATGTGATGGCGTCACAGATCCTTAGACCGCTGGAGAAGAGGCTGCAGGGACCGATCAGGCAGCCAGGGGGGCCAAGGGATCAGGTGAGAATGTCTTCTTTATTTTTGCCCCCTAGACAAAAAACAGTGGTAGCCCCGCTGCAAGGGTTAATTTTTCCCCCATCCCGGAGTTCCTCTTTAAAATCTCTAAAATCTCGCAGCATTTCCACTTTTTAATGTCAGAACAATTTACATTGTACCTAAAGAACAATTTGGCACTCTCTGCGTCTTTTATTTTTCATTCTGCGCTGCCATAAACGGAGTCTGAGAAATCAATCATACAGATAAGATTTCAAGTTTAACGAGTAGGAATATGGCCTGGCAGAATGACTGTAATTAGCGATTTATCTTATCCTTAAACGTTTGGGGATATTTTTTTTTTTTTGTCACGTTAAAAGTTTTATGCTGCATTCCAGGAGATCCGTCTTCATAAATCCTGAAAACAATCAGGTTTCTGCTCATGAAAGGCTCACAAATTATCTTTGCATTGCTAATAAACAAAGGGAAAGCCAAACACAGGAGGGTGGAATCGGAGAGAAGAATATACAGGAGAATGGCGGAACTGCTCAATCCATTATTTATTGCACACGTGCGACGCTATTTCCAACATGCTGAAATAGGTCAAATACAACACAAAAGGACAAACAAGCCTGAAATACAATACAGTCATGATTACAATGCAATGGTAGAACCTGCACAAAGCCAATGATTACAATGAATACATTTTTTTGCACAGTAGTTTCAAATACAAGCTGCTCCCGAAAAACCTTAAACTGGCCATGACAATTTGATAGATCGATCAAAGTTTCCATTTTTGTTTTTTTTGCTAAAAATCAGAAATCAAATGAAGATATCAAATGGTTTTTTATGGGTTGCAAGTAGGGTTGCACAGATACCAAGTACAGTACTCAGTAGAAGTACGAGTACATATACTGATACTTTTGAGCTCTAAGACTACACTAGAGAAAAATTCAAAAATTAGGAGGCAGCTGTCATGTGTAAGGAGCACACGGAGCTCCCCGGATTTGTACATCTCTGTTTTAATGTACGATTTTGTTTTTATAAATATAAATAAAGGGATGCACAGATACCAGTTTTGCGAGTACGAGTACTGGTACTTGCCGAGTACTTACAAGTACGAGTACTGATACATTTTTGTTTATTGTCATGTGACAGTTTTTCTAAATCAATACAGACTAATGATTTCAGGACAGTGGTGGAGTGCCAGAGCCAGGTCCCAGCTGCAACCGCTGCAACCCTGGTAGTTCTCATGAAAATGCCAAGTATCTGCACTGGTATCTGAAAAGTATCTGTGCATCCCTAGTTGCAAGTAGTGATGAGCCTCATGGGCTTGGTGCAAACCCAGTTTGCCTGTGCTCACCAAAACCTGCTCAAATCTTCAACCTTCACCCACTCCTCTCAACCCAGTGTTGGCAGTTGTGATATAACGCTGCAGGGTGGGGAATGCGCCTCCCTACAATTGATTGGGTTTGGAGGATGAAGTGGAGGTCAACGTTTTGAGCAGGCTTGGCCGAACCTAAGCGAACTGGGTTTACACCAAGTCCAGCCTCATCTCTAGTTGTTATGAGATGGGATCAAAATTGCCCTGATCATGTACACAGAAAAATCTGATTGCCATAGATTCCATTCCAATCTAATTTGATCTACCAATAAACTGTGTTGAATCTATCAATTTATTTCCCAGTTTGGAGTTTGCAATTGAGCAAATTCTGGTGGTCGATTAAACTCGTAGGTGGTATATTGCTTAGTTTCTGTCAATTACAATTGTATTTGCGATTCCTGGTGGCTCACAAGTGGTGAAAAATGACTGAAAATTGCCACATTTATGGCCAGCCAGGTAGGTTGGATCACCCATTATGATTACAATTCTGTAATGGTCATGGAATGTGGCAGTTCTAATCTAAAATAATATTATGAGTAGATGATTAACCCAATAGCATCCTCTCCTATATATAAGGCACTAGTTTTGGATAGACTTAAATTCTTAAATAGACCTAAGCTCAATTATTTGTTAGTTCACTGGACAATGCCAGTACCATTGCGAAGGGGCCTTATGATTACAATTCTGTAGTGGTCCCGAAATGGGCAGATCTAACCCAAAATGATACTATAAGTAGATAATTAAAGAACTTGCATCCTCATCTAGCTAAGGCACCAGCTTTGGATAGACTAAAATTGGACCTAAGCTTACATTTTTAGTCCATTAAAAAAAATTAAAGAATGATCCCAGGCAGAAGTAAATTGTTTACCTATTCTATTGAACAAATGCTTTTGTTGTGCTAAAATCAGAAATTAACTCAGTTTACATGAATCTGACTTCTGCATCCATCACACCTATAGCCCCATAGAGGGTTAGGAGGAGTGCAGAAGGAGTCTGCATCCCGTGATCTGTGCTGTGGACATTTCTTTGTTTTCTGCTTCTTACATCAATCACATTCATACTTCCATGGAAGATTTGAATTTGATTGTTGGCTACCAAAAATATCCTAATGGTGCCATTTTTACATTAGACTGTGTATAAGAAGTAGCAAGGAGGGTGTTTGAGCATCATACTAGCAGGTACGTTTCAGAACCCCCCGGAACAGATGAAAGAGACAGGGGTAGGATGATGCCGTATAGCAATGCCTGGTTGAAAAACTGAACTACTCATCAGATAATCTACATTACTGCATATATGTCAAAGTTTAATCTTCAGTATTGAGCGGATTTTACCTTTAAGCCGGGTGGGTAGATATATTAGAATGAGTATAAAGTTACATGTCTCCACTAACACAGAGATCATACAATGCTATAGTTCTGAGTCATGACCTAAAACCATGGCAGCCATGCACAGGAAAGCTCACAGTCTAAGATACTGAAGAACCTGATTACTATTAATACAGAGATCCTGTTGCACATGTGACCTAATAGCAACATAGTATGTAAGGTTGAATAAAGACCATGATCCAGGCTTTAGGTCATCATGGTCACGTGATCCAAAATGGACGTTACCCCAGGTCTGATCATCCTATGCTTCTCTAACATTTACAATTCCTATTTAGGAAACTGGAGCCACTAATGTCAAGTTTAGAAATGACTAACTGGGAAACCAGAATATCAATTCACTGGTAAAAAATGACATCAATGAAATCTAGAATGGTCAATAGGGTTTTCCTTCAGTGGAAGTCATTGTGTTCCAAAAGGAAGACTTAAAAGTGTATGTATGGGCAAATTAACAAATGACAATACTGCATATGCAGTACATCTTTGCAATACGTGCACATTTTCACATGCTTTGTCTCTTTCAAAGTGTTACGAGTACAGAAAAATATCTGTTGTTCCTGTTAATGAGCTCCTAACTTCCTGTAGTGAGCTGTCAACATATTACCTGTGCTGTACTGAAATCTCAAGAAGCGCTGTCAGTCCTGCCTGAGTACACCCGTGTTGAACTTCTTCCCTCCCTCTGTCAACCCCACAACATAACAGAGAGCTGTTCTGCAGTCCAGCAGGGAAGAACTCAGTAAAGGTGACAACATGGCTTGGGATTTTAGTGCAGCTGGAATACAAGTACGTGGGGTAAGTGTACAATACTGCGGAGCTGTACTGTATATTTTGTTTGATTTTGCCCCCTTTTGGCTCTTCAAGTTTACCCAAAGTGAGGTAAAAGATAAGAAGAAAAAACAATTCTACCCAAAAACGACTATATAGCTCCAGAGTACGAGCGGCTGAACACCACAATGGCTTGAGTATATTCCTCTGAAATTCCAGCAGATAGGAAATAATACCCCTACCACCACCACCACCACCCAGGTGGATAGCAAATGAGTTACAGCTTGGACTTATATGAGGAGGCAGAGACACAAACTACAGTGGAAATCCTTACAAGATATACCAAAGCCAAAAAGTGTTTCAGCCCACCGGTGGTCACCATAACTGAGCTTGAGTTAACATTCAAATGCTTGGAAGATCCATTTTTAGAGAACTAAATACCTATATATAATTAGACTTTGGAAAAACAATTTTTTACCAAGTTAGTATGTTATTACTTTTTTAAAGGAATAACAATTATAACAATTATTAATACAATTATAATATGTGTTTGCATTTCAATGGAATACATACAGTATTGTTACAATGCAACATTGTCCATGCAGAAATATCTGAGACAATGGAAAAGTCATTGTGCATGCGTTTGATGAACACACTAAAAACCAAAACAAGGAAGGCATGCACTAAAGCTGGGAGGAACAGCTCAGATCACAGCCTATACTCACCACCTTCCTCTTCATTTTCACTATCTAGGTCATCTTCTAACTTGGGCTTGTCTTCATCCATAAGATCTGAAGTTCTACCTCCTTCATGCTCATTCTCTGCATGACTCCTGAAGCTTGTTTCAGTTTTGTCTTCTGCTTTTCCCAACTCTGGTTGATCTGCGTCATTTTCCATGTTTTCATCAACTTCTGAGTCACCTTCATCAATGGCCGTTGCTAGTTTCTCAATTACCAACTCCTCCAACTCTGGTTCCTTTTCCAGGGTTGCTTGTTCGTCTGGATCAGGATGTTCTTCTGATTCTCTGTGCCTTTTCTTTTTCTTCTTCTTCTTAGCATCCCCAGCCTCATCAACAACTCTTTCATCATAGCTACTATCTAGTGAACTGTTGGATGAATAGGAATCTGTGTGTTTCCTATCTACAATGGGAGAAAATTGTGAAATTGTGATGTAACTTTGGTCTGTGAAGAAAATATGGTCATTTTTGCAATGCCTGTAAACATGTGGTAAAGTCTGTGACCATGTACGGCTGTAATGATATGCAACACTGAAGATCCTTATTTCCTTTTATATGTTTTAACCCAACTATGATATTTTATTTGTGCAAGGATGCTGGCAAGTTGACTCATATGCATATTAAGTAACAATGTTAAGGAATCATAGCAGCGAGATACCCCATTAGAAATCCCAGTTGGTCCCAACTACCACAGCCTTTACAAAGCAAAGATAGTGTTGCTATACAGTAATACCTTGGTTTACAAGTAACTTGGTTTGAGAGTGTTTTGCAAGACAAGCAAACATTTCTGAAAAATGTTGCCTTGATATACAAGCAATGCCTTGCAATAAGAGCAACATTTTTTAGAAAAGAACCCGAATAAGGCTGTAGCAGTGCGAGCGATGAGTCTGTCTAACGACAATGCAATGTCACATTGGATAGATTCCTTGTTAAGGTTTCACAAAATGAAAAAGATTCCATTGAGCCGAGAGATAGCAGTGATTCCGTTAGTGATAGTGAAAGTCGTCCTGCACAATAATCCTCCTCTCTCTTGTCCCCCTCACACCGGCCACGAAGGTAACCGGAAAATGGTTTATTTTTCTTTATATTTTGTACAGTATTATATTACTGTATTGTAATCATTTTTATATGAATATTTTTGGGTTGTGGAACGAATCATCTGAATTTCCATTATTTCTTATGGGGAGATTCACTTTGATATACAAGCGCTTTGGATTACAAGCATGCTTCTGGAACGAATTATGCTCGTAAACCAAGGTATTACTGTATATATAATAACTAATAATGATATGGAGGATCCAGATGCAGAATATGAACATTTTCTTTAAAAGAGACCCTCTCAGGTCTTTAAATGAATCAAAAGGCACTTCCTTTCAATAAAATACATACTATACTCACCTCTCCAGCAGCCAATGGCTGCTAACGTCCCTCTGTTTCAGTGCTAAAGATTACATCAATCTCTAAGGCATTCAACACTTCTGGAAATGTTGGATGCATGTGTACCCCTCTGTACACTGTGGTTACCTTTTTTGACCCCTGAGCCACTACTGTGTCCTATAATGACAAGCAGAAAGACCCACAGTGAGTGGTGAGGCTACACAGACATCCAACAACCCCGGAGGCATCGGATGGTGAGGCTTCAGTGCTTGCATGAAAGGAAGGTAGTAGACTCAGGCTGCTATGGAGGCAGGTACATTATCTTGTTTATTGCTTGGGGAGTGCTGTTTTGATAATTTAAATGCTTGCCATGGTCTCTTAAAAGGAAAAATGTGCATTCCTAATGCATTGCAAAGAAATAGGTTAATTCCTTCTCCCTAATAGCATATGCAGTGGTCACCTTTACTTTGCACCCCTGATGCTCCATCTAGCTATTGGGAGCAGCAGAAGCCTCCACGTGTAAGCTATGAATTGCTCAAGTGGAAGCTTACACAGGGCTATGGATGTTCTCCTTGTGACAGTACAGATCATTGATGATTAGCTCAGCACTTTTATGTAGAGTGAGTCAGTGCTTTGCAATGCAACGAGAGAGGACAGAACTTTGAACAACTCCAGGGAATTTTCAACACTGACATTTCTGAGATGTATAAGTAGCTTTTGGGTAATTAAACACAACTGTGACTACCCAATTTTGAGGGCAGTTTCACTTTTAGGGTAACTAACATGACACAACTGAACACACCTAACAAGCATGCTGAACAATGTATTTCTCAATGCCACTTGGCTTCACAAATGCAAAACTGCTCTAGAAAGTTGAAGAATCCGTTCACATTTCGAGAATGATGGCTGCGGTCAATATATTACATAACCAGACAAAACAAAATTGATAATGTTTACGCATTTTATATGTTTTTTGGTAACCTGTCACATTTTAAGCTAAGCATATGATGAGAAACTAAATAGCTGAAGATGCCTTTTGTTAAAAAATGTATTTCAAAACAATCAGTAGATCCATTGATATACACGGCTGGATTTATGTGCAAACCTTGACTCTTTCTGCAAAAGTTCTCCCCTGTCCTGCATTCTTCTGCCTCCCACCCTCTCCGTTGGTCCTTTAGTGTGACAGATGACCTTAACGTCCAACGGCAAAACTTGGAAGGTGGAACCAGTATTGACTTTCACTGGAAGCATCAAAACCTGCACATAAATTCTGCTTCCTATGGATCTACTGCTTGAAAGTGACCTTTGCTTATGCCTTTGTTTTATCGTATATCAGTTTCAAGCACCTGCTTTTGTGAATGATTTACTTTTAAAGAACCTTCAATGAAGACAAGTCACTGTAGAACTGCAGTGGTTGTCACTGGTGTAGTTATACCTGGGCTTTGAGGTTAAAAGGAGACTGAGGATAGAACCATTACTGTACAGAGAGAAAATGGGAATGGCTTAACATCCCATGAGCATTGGTTAATTTATACACTAGGAATCAATGGTGTGTCTAAAACATTCCCTACTTTGAACAAAATGGATCCTACAGTATATAGTCAACAGGTGCATTTAATGGGTTATCCTACCTAAGACATATTTCCAATTGTGGTGTATGTGAGCAGGTCAAGTCAATCATGGGCTTCTTTTATTACTTGGGGAGTCTCCACTTGAGTTCCAAGCTCTGTAAGACTGCATTCACACCTAGGCATCAGCATATGAACACGCGGCTGTCAGATGAAAAACATTGCGTAAAAAACGTGCGTAAAAATATGGGTCAGGTTTTTCCATTGCAAAATGCCCCAAATAACTTTTTTGAGGGACAGGCGTTTTGCAGCTTGCAACAAAAAGCCTAGGTGTGAATGCGGGCCATTGACATTAATGGGAATTTATGTGCTGAGCGTTTTGTCGCTCAACTTTATGCACGACAAAATGCCTGTGAACGGGGCCTAAGAGTTGTATGACACCCTCTTGGATTATCATTTAGCTTACATTATTGATATTACTGCAGAGTGGACAGCCAGGACCTACAGTAATGCAGCCACTGTGCATCCACCCACAGTTGGATAGTTGGAGTGGCCTTTGAAAAGTCTTATAAAATACCTTCAATTCTTGATAAATCGATTTTAATGGGAGCAAATACTGTATTTCTTATCCAAGCAGTTCAGCATGCACCAATCATAGCGACATATATTTGCAACGCAATTTTCCCTACGCTATTTCAAGCCATGATTAGATATTCAATTAACTGGATAATTTAAAAAAGTAGACTTAATCACAGGAGAAGTGCTGATTGTGGAACATGCAGATTTGAGCCGACTTGGGAAAGAATTTGAAGAAAATGACTAAAACGGCGGCTCGATTAGCCAGAGAAAAATTCATTTTTGGTCAGCGACCGCGCTCTTTCAAACCTGGTTTCTTCTTGCCGCCGTTCCGATGATGGCCTCTATGTTGTCTATAAAGGGTTTGGATTTTGATGGCAGCTGAATTCATTTCCTCGTCAGCTATGCTATGTTTGCCTATTCAACGAGGAAAAGACGATATCAAAGGCAACTTTCAAGTTCAAAGGGAAGATAATTTATGGAAGGCGGTGGTATAAGAAAGCAGAGTGTAGACACCCTTTGTTATTGGATGTTTATATACTATGCCAGGAAAACAAATATTCTATGACAAATGAAGGTGAAAGAGCAAGAAAAATGCACGTTTATGGGCAGGTGAATATTGATACTGCAAAGTAAAATAGTGCTATTGATTAGCACACTGTGCAGGGGTTTGTTAATTAGTTGATATTAGTAGATATTGTTGATCAATAAAGACCCAGGCACTGCTCCAACGCACTGCCAGCACAGGGTGTATATACACATTATAACCCTTGCCCCAGCACAAAAATTCTATTAAAAATAAAAAAAGACGCCCCACCTTTATTACTGTTTATACAGCCTGACTGCATTATAGTAATAAAAAGGAGGCTTCAACTGGGCTTTAAAATAGTCAGGCATGAGGTGAAAGAGCGACTTAGCCACTAGGCAATTTTTTCACTCTAAACAGCTTGTGTTGTGAATAGACCAGCAGGATATCAAACCACACACACAGCTCAAAAAACTCAGGGGAGGAACACACACCCTCTCTTAGTAGAGACATTGCCTTGGTTTTCTATCTGCAGGTGCAGTCAACAAGTGCAAAGCTAGTGCTGGGCTTTCTTATTAGACAGCCCAGCATGCACTGCCAGCACTGAATCATGAAAGCACATTGCAATAAAGTGTATAAAAAGTTTAATCTTTGTTTTGGATTGAGTGGGTAAGGATTAAGACCTCTGTCAAGTTTTACTGCTAGCCAGGGCTTTGTTAGAAGGGTCTCCCCTCACTTCTTGTCCTGGTGATAGCTTTAACAAGGGAATTTTTTTTCCAGTAAAGTAGATGAAAGGATAGAACCCCAGGCAAATTTTTAGGCGCCAGGTGGAACAAAAGTGGCCGGACAGTGAGTGCAGTCAATCAATGGGTATTCTGATAACTGTGAGCACCGCCTATCAGAATACAATAATAGCTTGACCGGGGACATACCTCCATCCACACTGTTGGAATTGAGTGATTTCTGCAGTTCCCGACGGACTGAATGTGAAAAAAATGTACCTCTATAGTTAACCTAAAGGTGGGCAAATTCATCTGACGGATCCCTAGAGTGCAGTAAAACCTAACAGAGGCTGTAATCCTTTCCTACTCTATCCAAAACTTTAAAAAAAAAACTAGTTTTGGCTGGAAAAACATTTTAATTTCTTTGTTAAAAAAAAATAAAAAATTGTTGCAAAAATAAAAATGATGGAAAACTTTATTACGTGGTAAATTTTACACAAAAGAAAAAAATTATCAAAAACTGTTGTAGTTTCTCTTCTTTTCTTCAACTAGCATAGGATAAACCTCAGATCATGGGAGCACCTACCCAACCAACCAAATACAGTGAGATCTTCCCTTGCGGCACTCTGCCATGGTTATGTGACATGGCACGTGGCCCAGTTAGGGAATTCTGGGAAAGAAGACCTCCCTGCATCTGCTGGTTGAACGCTGCATTGATCCGAGGTCTGCTGGAGCTCTGGGGAGGGGGGGGCAGAAACTGGGTCTCTGTGTCATCTATGGGGGGTCTTAAGGATGGGTTTAGAAGCTCCCCGTTGGGGTGTTGTCTCTGCTGGAGGTGGTGGCATAAACAGAGGCACAGTGGTACATGTACTCTTTTTGCCAACGTTAGAGGAAAGCCAGGAAAGGTTTTGAAGTGAAGTCAAACTGAGTGCAGCAAAGTTAAAAACAATAATTTTGCCTCTTTCTGAAGTGCAGCAATATATTCACTGCGTGTGAAAGGCCTCGTTGCTGTTTACGAAACATTCAGCCTCTCTTCTGGAACTGAGATGTATATTTACCGGCAAAGCCATACGTGGCCTCATAGAACTTCATACGCAGGAAGAGGCCTTGAATACATTTCTGTAATGATACATTTAAATAGTAAGAAAATACAGACACCAACCTTGTTTATGCTCTTCAGAGTCGCTGTCACGGCGCCTCTCGCTTTCATCTCTGTCGCTGTCAGAGGCCTCAGGCTCCTCTTTTGATGGTGTGCTCCTTCCCGGCTCTTGGTCTAAATCATCTTTTTCATCATCTGAGGACGACTTTGACTCTTCATCCACTTGATCATCAGCCTGTCGATCTTTATTACGCTTATCATCAGGTTTGTATTCCTCCTCTTCAAAATCTTCATCGTAGTCTACCAAAGAAAGAGGTTGAAGAAAAGATACAAGATGCGCTCAAAAGAATCGCTTTTATTACAAGACTTGGAGATAATCCTAGTTCAAAGAGAATTAGCCATGAACCAGTTAGTTAACGTTTCTCTCCAAAACAGGTGTCAAAACCCCAATATCACTCTGAAGCCCTGATCACTATCTATATATCCGAAAATGTTACAAAAGCCGTTACTACTCATGTGTCAAGGAGAAATGTTTTTATTTTATTGCTCTTTGTTGTATAAATATTGGTTTGTGGAACCACTTGCTGATCTGTATAATAGCCAATGAAGAACCATAAGGAGCTGATTTATAAATCTTTCACCCAGGGTATATCTGGACATATACTATTTGCATGGCACTATCACCACTAGATGGAGCAGAGGAGCATAGAAAATTCCTATGCTCCTCAATGCCATCCAGTGGCTATACACTGAGTGGAAGATTTATAAATCAACCGCATGAGGTTCTTCATCAGGTATTATACAGTTCTGCAAATAGTTCAGTGTTTTTTCGAAAGCTTCTAACTTTAAGAACTTACACTTATCAAGCACTTTATTATAATTTAGCAGTTAACTAAATCTTGGCTTTTAAGAGATCAACTTGCTCAGCAAAAGTACACTGTGGCATTCAAGCGATGATTGATTAACAGGTCCAAAGTGTGCCAAGAAAACATCTCCTACACCAGGAGTAGGTAAACTCTGGCCCTCCAGCTGTGATGAACTACAAATTCCATCATGCATCGGCCTCTGGGAGCCATGTCTGTGGCTGTCATAGTCTTGCAATGCCTCATGGAATTTGTAGTTGCACCACAGCTGGAGGGCCAGAGTTTGCCTACCCATGTCCTAGACCCTTGGTTCTCAACTGGTGGGTCATGACTAAAAAGTGGGTCACGACCTCCATGTTCAGTGGGTCGCTGCATGCCTTCCACTTTTCTAGGTGAGAGGCTCCTCTGCCTCCCCCTAGCGCAGCACTGTCAGTTCTCCCGCCAAGCAGCCATTCAGAATATGCTGCCCAGCATCGAGTGTCAGCTTGAGTAGATAGGATGGGGCTATGGATGCGAGGGAGCTCCATCCATACATGCATTGCTTACAGCTGTTCATTTGAATGGTACCCCAAACACAACTCCCAGCCACAGTTCGATTGCCCGCACCGGAACGCGTGTTACCGCAATGCCATGCGGACCATTGCAGTGCAATTTGGGTCACGACCTAATGACCAAGGACAAATGTGGGTCCTGAGGTTACACAGGTTGAGAACCACTGTCCTAGACCATTACCCCACGAGTCTGGACTGTTGACACAAGGCAGGTTGTGTTCATGGATCTATGCTGTTGACACCAAATTCTGACCCTACCATCTATGTGCATCATCTGAAACTGAGATGCATTAGGCCAGGCTACATTTTTCCAGTCTTGAAATGTCCACTTTTAGTGATCCTTTGCCCACAGCAGACTCTGCGTTCTGTTCTTTGTTGACAGGAGTGGAACTCAACGTGGTCTTCCACTGTTGATGCCCATCCTCCTCAAGGTTGATGTTTTGTGCATTCTCAGTTGCTTACCTGCTCACCACAGTTAGATTGTCATTTGGGTTAACGTAGCTTTTACAGTGCACCTATACAGGGAAGGGTAGATATACCATTTGTGCAGACTGTGCAGCTACACAAGGCCCCCCTGGGAGTTGGAGACCTATGACAGAGTTCAGTTTAGCAAAAAAAGCTACTCATCATTACCTGCATGTGTCAGCCTATGTTTCTAGCTATAGAGTGAAAAAGCATTCGTACTTGGGCTGTTCTTCAATGGGGGTCCGAAAAGCCTTGAACAAGGGACCATCAATGACTGTATTCATCACTCTATATTAATGTAAATGTCTTTTTTTTTTTCCGACGGCTTATTTTGCGGGGAAAAAAATAAAAAAAAATAAAAGGTATGACAACACTACCATCTGTAGGTAGCAACATGTACTGCAAATTGTCCTTAACGTGAACCTGTACAAAAAGGAATAGAAGAGCTGCCCCTATTAACTTGCTTTTATAGGTGCAAGCTCGGGGTGTCATTACAGATCTTGGTTTTGCCACCTGCTGGATCAATGACTTGCAGAAACCATGCAGAGAGCAGAACCTAAAAAGTCTGACCCACTGGGGTCAGGAGAAGAGGCATTTAGGCAGCCTGCGGGGCAAACAGAGAACAAAAAGGACCTTATCAGTGTAATGATACTCATTCACTATCCAGTAAGCTACAAACCTGAAACTGTGAGCAGTGGTGTCACCTAGTGGCTTTACAGTGTGTACACCTTTATATTTTTGGGGGTTTTGTTAAAATTCCACTTTAATTAAACCTCTTAAAAATGTTCTGTGAATTTACCATCCTTGGCTTCGTCATCTGCTTCGTATTCATCCGTCTTGGTGTCCTTATTGTCTCCTTCTACCTCCTCTCCATCCTCTTCATAGTCCATATTAGATTTATCTTCTTTTGGATCATCTTCATGGCCTACTGTACTATCAGGTTCATCAGGGTATCTTTCCGTACCCTCATCATCAATTTCTGATTTGTCATTCTGTGCTTCCTCCAGTTCCTCATCTTCCTGCCCATTTTTGTCAAGTTGACGCTTGATCTTCGGAGGTGGGGGAGATGGCTTCTTGTCCAAGCCCATTGCAATGATACATCTGCAATAAAAGCAATGTGAAAAGAAAAGACAGACATAGGTAATTTCTTCCCCTGAGACAGAACAGGAAGTGAGAAGAAATCCCTCCAAAGTGAGGGGAGAACCCTTTCAGGACTCTTTGAAGCAATGTGTGTGACTAGCTTAAGATTTTGGATCTCCATTCACTTTTTGTCCTGATGAAAATGGCCACCAGGAAAAATACTTAGGGTGCAATAAAAAATTAAAAAAAACCTTCTAGGTGCTATCTGTTCCCTGCTCTATCCAAAACTTAAACAAAGGTTTTGGCTACAGATACATGTACAGTGATTCTGTCTTTATACTAGCCTGCCTCCTGTGGATTGCAATAGCAGGATTTAGAAAAAGAGAAAGGGGCAATTACGTTGGACAGTGCATGGAGAGTTGACTATTAGGATGAGAGAGTATATGCATCAGAGAGCAACTCTTTAGGTCATGTGGGGGGTGGAGTGGCATGGCTGCTCTGCTACACAATGTTTCCAGTGTGCCTGCCGCCCCCTTTCCAGCTAGAGCATTCCAGGTTGCTAATAGTCGGTGGGGAGAGGTGTAAGGACCATACAAATCTCCCCACTCAGCTCTTAGCAACCTTGGACACTCTAGCTGGCGTCCTGGCCAGCTCATGGTAACCATTGACGTCAGTGATTGCCAGGAGCTGTTCAGGATGCCGACCCGGGCAGAGAGGGTGGTGTCACTCAACCACTATCAACACTGCCCCCCCTTCCCCCGACCCACTTTAGGCAGAAAAAAAGGTTAGGGACCACACTGAGTATATTGTTGACTTCAGCAGTGTGTTTCTGCCCCTTCACTAACCATTCACAGGATGACAAGGTCCTTAACTGCAGTAGAGAGTAGTAGAGAGGTCAGGAACCAGTTGTACAAGACTGCCTGTATTATAAAACAAGTTTATAGCAGGTAGGACCATTTGCACTTTTGTATTTGAGCTGTGAATTTAGCTCTTTTCCAGCTCTTCTAATTTTGTGCCGGGGTTTCTGGGCTGCTGGAGCTTTACTGAATGGATTCATCGATGTGACGGCACCTCTAGGCACCTACATTCAGTGCCTGATGCCTCTTTTTTTACTTTATCCAGTAAAGGTGCATTTTAAGCACATAGAGTAACATAGCATTTGTGTTTTACTAACAGATTTTTTTTCTTACCATTCAATGGCTAAAAGCTAGATGTTTGCTTTTACTGAGATTAAAGCGTTTTATGTTCAGGACTTATCCTCGGGTCATGCGTTACCTGTAACAAGGAGAAGCTCCTTCGATGTCAATGAATCCAAAATACCCGTTTTTGCCTCCGAGGCGCGCTCCTTTGCGGTGTTTGTACTCACAGCATGAGCTTAAACGGTCCACCTGGATCCCATTAATGTAGAAGGTGAGGCTAAATGGGAAGCCGCGGTGACGCCTGGAGACCAGACTGAAACACTCTGAAACCGTAAAAAAAAAACTTGTCAGGAGGTAGGGATGTATGACCATAAACGCAGAATCTATTTCGTGCAATAAAGACGTCCAAGAGGACTTCACATTTATTGACTTTCCATTTACTAATTTGTTTTACCCCTTTCGCAGCTTTTTCTGATTTACCTTTCCTTTTTTTTTTTGCGCCTTTTGTCCACGTCTTGCTATCCTTTAGCAGAGATGAGTTTCTGGGAGCACAAAAAAGTCCATTCCAGTATTTTGCTTGCACATGATTCGATGATGGAAATCAACATTCACCAAACTCAGGGTAAGTTCACACCATATGCAAGCACTATTTTGACCGCACCGCATTGGACCACAGGCACAATGTTCCCCTTCGATCCCGTGCGGGCGATTGCATTGCGGCCGGGGGGCATGGCTACGATGCCATTCACTTCAATGGCCCGCCACTCCCCCTCCAGCCCCACGAAATAGTGAGCCGGCCGCAATGCGATGCAGTGCGTTCCGGCCGGGATCGGGCCGGAACGCACTGCATATGGTGTGAACGTACACGAAGGGGAAATTTTGCAAAGTGCAAATTTCCTTGCAAAGTGAACAGCCTTTTTACCTTTAGTAAATGAACCCCTGTGAGTCTTGTAAACAAGATCAAAAGCAAACACAGAGCCGGCAAAATGTAAAAAGGAACCTTAAGCTCCACCTGGTAGCCTAAAAGAATGCTTTATATATTCTTAATATAAGAGAAAAACTAATAATTACACATTTGGAACAAATGACTCCCTATAGATTAAGTTCAATGGATACCGGACCGCACTCCTTACCAGTCTGCCCCTTAGAAATGGGTGCTGATGTGGCTGTGAATGGTGCCGCTAAATCCAAACAGATAAGGTATGTCACCAACACTCTGGAATGAAGTGTTCAAAAAACGTCTTTATTGACGCATAGACATCATGTCACATGGAGACTATCCCTATTCATTTTTCAGTGCCCTTCCATTAGCATCCGTTATCGCAATACAATGGATTGCAATACAATGGATTGGAAGGAAATCAGAGGGTACAACTGGAAGTCAACTAGCCCTCCGTTGACTTGAGATTTCCTTCTGACTTTGGTGTGAACGCACCCTTAACAACACACTGACTGATTGTATGTGTTACCCAAAGACAGAGCTGGATTATCCACATTGCAACCTAGGCAAGAGCATAAGATGTCCAGTGGGCCCAGCTACTACCTACATGCTCCTGCAGTCACCAGGCGGAGAATGCAATTGGTCAAATAGTAGGGATGCACCGATACCGATACTAGTATGCCGATGCCGAGTATTTGGGCGAGTACTAGTACTCGCCCAAATGCTCCGATGCCTAGCCCAATGCTTCCGGTATCAGAAAGCCAGGCATCGCATCATTGTGACAAGAGAGCATGGAGCCGACACAGTCATGGAGACACAGTCATCACTGGTGACGAGAGAGCATGGAGCCGACTTCCCGGCCAATCAGAAAACCAGGCATCGTGTAATGGCGCTCTGCCCGACTTCATGATTGATCGGAAGCTGGCCAATCAGGAAGCCAGGCGCCATGTGAATGACACGGCGTCCGGCTTTCTGATTGGTCGGGAAGCCATCTTCATGGTCCCTCGTCACCTCATGACGAGGGAGCATGGTGCCGGCTTCCCGGCCAATCAGAAGGCGGGTGCTGCGTCATTACATAGCGCCCGGCTTTCTGATTGGCCAGAAAGCCGGCTCCATGCTTTCTCGTCATGACGCATGGGAACGGCTTCCCTGCTAATCAGGAAGCCAGGTGGTGAGTCATTACATGCCGCCTGGCTTCCTGAATAGGACTTCCGGTACTCGGTATTCGGTATTGGCGAGTACCGGAAAAAAAATATCGGTACTCGTACTCGATACCGAAAATAATATACACCTGCCTGTTACTTCACAAGTGAGGAGGCACTTGTAGTCAATTGGTCTATGTAGGTCCACACCAGTACAGACAATACAAATGGGGCAGCTTCTCTGTCCTCAACAATGTCAATGGAAGGGATGGGGAACCACAGTTGCTTTTTTGCCTAGAGCCTGAGTCCCCTATCCTAGCCAAAAGCAGTTCATGAATTCAATTCCTAATCCTCACCTTCTTCCAGAAGTCTCCCTTTGTAAACACAGAGGTTCTCCCCGCCGCAGTGCTGCTGAAAGACCTTAACCTCATCTCTGTAGTCGGTATCGTCATGTGATAGATGCACGTTTTTTCCAACATAAACCATGGTAATTTTTACATTACTGTGCAGGGACGTTTTATGAAACTTTCCCGTATCCTGGAAAAAAGAAAAAAAAAAAACAATAAATTACGTTGCTCTGCCGGCAAATCAGTACAAGTCTGGGTATTGCTATAAAACATACGTGTCACTAAGCAGTCCTAGGACAGTCTCAGATCACCGGCTTCCAAGAAGTTTAATAATCTGGAGCTGCTCCTGACATGCAGTGCCGGTGATTTGTGGGGACAGTGGCTGAAATATATATACCGGTCCGTGACATTAAATGATCCTCAAATTGGAAAGTTTCAGACACAAACCATGAGGGTGAAATATATTCCTTAGCCATGTTTTTACGGCTGTTTTTTCATTGGAAAGTAAATGGTCACATCTTCTTTCATTGTAAGAATATGATGTCACCCCTGAATATCCAGAACAGAGTACCGATGGGTCATATGCATGGCCCCCAAATGGCCCTCATTTGGAGAGACTCTCCGTCCTTGGGAACCAAATCCCTCTGTCCCTTTTTTCTCTTCAGTTAGGTTTTTGCAGAATAAAGCTCTATACAAGATGTGCTATTTGACCACCAAAGGTGTTATACTAAACAAAACTGTTCATTCATCCAACCTCTAACTTGTTGAATGTGTTTTTTGGGAAAGTCATGGCAAAGGAAAATTAATGGTGAAAAAAGAACTTGTGGGTTTAAAGCGTATCTCAAATCTAACACAAACAAACATTTAAGCAAAATTAAAGGTAAAAAATTAAATATTGTGAGCGGGCAGAATCATTATTGCTATGATTCTTCTTCAATAAAACAAACTGACCTCCCCGTGTGCAATCCTTTGTAGAATGTGCACTGAACTGTACATGCACAGCTGAGCGTAACAATATGGGCACCTCTGTTCTGGGACAAATTAACTCACACGGACATGCGCAGGAGTTATGTCATCCCCCTCTGCCCAATTAAGACGGGTGAAGACCTGGCACCCTTTGGAAGAAGATGTTGGCGCTGGCTTGGGAGCTTGCAGACATAGCATTGCCAGAGTGGAGGTGAGTATGTGCGGACTTTAGTTCCACTTTAATATATTTAATATATTGCAGCTTACGAATCCTTAGATGTGGTGGCTGCGTTAGTTTTCATTTCTAGGCATTTTTTTTTCCTTTATTTTTACCTGGCAGCAACACACTTCCTGTCCTAGCGTGACTACACTCACTCCTTTACTATATCTATGGAGGAGCCATGTAGACACAGTTGGATAGCAGTTTCAACCTAAGGAAAGGGTAGTGCTAAATGGACTAATAGATTTAGATGAACTTAAATACGTGACAAAATAAAGCCGAAGTCCCTGCTAACACTTTTGAAGCGGTTAAAGAAAGAGTGTTTATTTCCTTTTGGAAACAGGTTTTAACTATAATAATAAAAGCTGACCATTGTAAGGACTTCCATCAGTTTGAAATGGTTTGCTTCAAACCTCTGACTTCTACTGTTGGTGGTCAGCTTGGTCTGTTGAAAATTTGTAAAAAAGGAGAATAAAGGTGCCCATACACTGTACGATTCTCGTATGAGAATCGCGGGAAATCCCGCAATCGTACGATAATCGTACAGTGTATGGAAGGCGTGCGACCGTTTCTACTGTCGCACGTCTTCCGTCTACCAAGCAAAAGTCTTGCGATGGTCGTAAGGTGTATGGGCACCTTTACTCTTGGTAATCACCAGGCAATAAAACTACGATAAAGACTCATTTTGTCATTTTGCCCATAGTTCCACTTTAACCAGTCATTTTTGGTTTATTAGATGGGATGTGTCCCCTTTCTAATTGTGCAGGTGACCGTTGTCACTAAGACAGACAATGATGGAAAATCTAAAATGTTACAGTCATCACTGGGACACATAAGAAGAGGAAATCTTCCAATGGGGGCATCTGTCCTGGTGACAACTGTCTAAGAGCAGACTAACTCTCACTTCCTGTCGTATCTCCAGTCAACAATTACCATGAGGTGCACCTAATTTTTTCTCATGACCATATAATAGACATATGCGATTCATTTTGTTCCGAATGTCATCCAAATGTGTCCGAATCTGAATTTCCGTTTTTTCCGAATTTCAGGTCCTTCCAAATTTCGCTCAAAAACTAAACTAAATCGGACATGTGACTTTTCTCGCCAATCAGATGTGTTTTTCGGTTTCATGCATCCGAATGGTTCTGAAGACGAATTTTCGTTACGGCAACACGTGAGCCATAAACAGTATATACATATAATACTAAAGCCCAGGCTCGCAGACCCGAATGGCTTTCGGGATTCCAATTTCCAGATCCCATTTGGGAGCTCCCAAATGCCATTCGGGTCTGGGAGCCTCAGCTTTAGTAATATATGTATATGGCTCCCAGACCCGAATGGCATTCAGGAGCTCCCAAATGCAATTCGGAAATTGGGATCCCGAAAGACATTTGGGTCTAGGAGCCTCAGCTTTAGTATTAATATCTGTACATGGTTTTCTGTGGTAGTCGTAAGGAATAGTTGCATGTAAACTCATCCGTAAATAACGAAATTCAGATTTCGTCCGAATCCGAAACCCCGAACCGAATTGAATTTCCGATCTGAATCCCGAAATAACAAAATATCCGAACCAAATTTTCCCACAGCTTACATGTCTACCATATAACAAAGTGTTTGTAGGTCTATAATTACCAGACCAAATGGACCAAATAAGAGACGTTCACTGTTCGGGTTTACGCGCGCTTTAAGAGGTCTACCTACCTGATGAACGCTTCGTCTTATGATGATTTTATTGGCATTCCCATTGACAGACATGCTGCAGAAACCAATTGGCAATTTGCACACAGCGATGATATCTACCTTAGCCGTGACCTCAAGGTCATTTGGCGCGGTGGTGGGACGGTAACGCCTCCCTCTGGACATGGTGCTCATTCTCTGCTTAGGCTGTTTCTGGGGTGGCGGTGGCACGGGCATCACAAAGTTGTTAATGATGGGGAGGCGATAGGGTGAGATGCCTAATGAATGATCCGTCGTATTCATTGTCTTCAAAGTATCCTTTTCGGTCTGAAAAACAGAGAAGCAGATCGGCTAGATGTTTGTCTGTAATCATCTTATACCAGCAGAGAGAAAAAAAATTTGAGGCATTGTCCAAAGCAGCCAATTAGACGTCTTCTTTCATTTTCTCACCGACAGTGGAAAATGACAACTGGAATCGGATTAACTCATTAGATTTTTTTTTAATTCCTCTTTTGTAAAGCTACTGTAGCCCATTAATATATAAAATAACAAAACCAGCTCTTGCTGCTATATTCACCTTCAAACCTGAGATTTCCCTGCACTTTTTTCTGCCACTCGATGTCCTCAGTCTGATGGCCAGCATCAAGTAACCCACTTCTTCTGAGCCCATGTCATCCTGGACCTGCCCAGAGGCCGTGACTGTACAGTGGAAGCACAGCGGTTAGCTCATTACTCTGTCACTCTTCTTCCTCCTCCTATCAGCATGCTCCTTGCCAGAACATGAACTGATTGCCTCTTTGTGTTGCTTCTTCCTCTCACACTCCAGACCTCCTGCGCAGGGACTACAACAGGTTGATGCCAGGCCATATTCAGGTACTTACATTACTGCCAACTAAAAAATAGATTTAGGCTAGGTTCACACCTGCACTACACCGCACGACACCCGGGACGCGCGTCCTGGGATCGCGCGGTCCTGCACAATGCAGGTAGCGATTGCCGCGCGGCCACATTGATTTCAATGGGGTGACATCCACGCGGAATTGCAAAAAAAAGTTACATGTACCTTTTCTTTGAAATACACAACGCGCAGCTGTTTTATCGTGTTCGGAAGCATTGGAATTGCAGTGAGAAACCGCAATCCACCCGGCGCGAATGGGGTGCCATTAGAAAATAATGGCACCCACAGTGTGAACAGTTCGCACCTTGGCAGCTCCTGACCACGCGGCAATCTGCGTGGAATCGTGCACGATTGCCGCGCGGTAAGGTGTCGCCTAGGTGTGAACCTAGCCTTAATGATGTATTGATGACTACAGAGCATTATTTTAGGTTCTTTACATCTGCCTGGAGTTCAGCTGAAATAATTCTCTTGAAATAAAGCTTTTTGTCTTTTGGAGGTAAATATATTTAGTTTCTTACCCCGCTGTGATATCGATGATCGTCATCGTCAGAACCTTGCTTCTGGCGGGATCCTGCAGACATCTTGGGTTCGTTTCCAGATGAGGTGTGCGCTGGTAGCGGCTGCAACCGAACCGGCCGCTGCATGTTACCAGGAGCAGTGTTCGGTCGTGGTGATGAGACCTTCCGGGGTTCAAGGGAGGAAAAAGGAACTTTACTCTTTAAGTAACTTTATACAGTTTCAATGACAGACGTATGCATTACATACAAAATAAAGACACATTCACTATGCGGCACATTTATTAAAGTCTGCTGAAAAAATACATTTTGCTTCTCCAGATTGAGACAAAATTCTGCTTTACACCAATCTTGGTTTTGGAGTCATTTTTTTCAGACATCGATGTTTAAAGGAAACAAGTGCTGAGATAATAGGGGGGCGGCCATTGCTGATTTATCTTCTCTTAAAAGAATATTCCACCCATTGGACAATGTTTCATGTTAACAATTATTATTTAGGGTGTATCATGACACAGGTTCACATTCTGACCCCCAAATGGTCCTCTTTTCACCGACTTAGCTGGATTGGTTCTTCTACCTGCAGAAATCTGTATTCATTAGAATTTGGCCTGCCCGTGCATGATTCCACCTGCAGTGCCACGTGTCATTCACTCACAGATCCAATGACAAGGACTACATCTGCCACCATGGCAGTGTGACTCATAGATCTCAATGGAGTACAAATGCAATGACATCAATGCACTTTTAGTCCACTGATAACGCCTCCAGCCCCACAACTGAAGGTCCGGGCAGGTTGGAGTCTGCAGGAGCCTGTGCATTGTGCCCACAGTCCACTGGCAGCTGCAAAAAAAAAAAAAGGATTAAATGCCTTTTTAGAACGAAGTCAGCAGCGGCTGCCATCATCGTTTTCTTGGTACTGGTTTCCTCTAAGTCAGGGGTAGCCAAGCTGCGGCCCTCCAGCTGTTTTGCTACTACAAATCCTATCATGCATCTGCCTCTGGAAGTCATGCTTGTGACTATCAGTTTTGCAGTGCCTTATGGGACTTGTAGTTTCCCAACAGCTGGAGGGCCAAAGTTTGGCTACTCCTGCTCACCGGTGTGCATTTTCAGTCCAGTGAAGCAAAGAAGAGATGTGATCGAAAAAAAGGAAATTTAACTCAATTTAGAAGAGTGATGAGATTTTCCTGGGAAACATTTACTTTCAAACAGTCAACAATTCTCAGAGAAATATCTAAAATTAGAGGTCAGAAAAATGTCCATGAGGAATATCCGAGTTACACCTTAATCAATTGCAGGGAAATGAAATGGAAGTTAAAGGGAAAGGTTGATGAAAAAAGGATCATATTTATTTTCTCCCTTTAATAAATGGACTCTGGAACTTTATCTGAGTGTCAACTAAACATTTTAAGTTAAAATGACACTAAACTCAGGGGTTAAATCTTAAAAATACTTTTAAGTACCTTAACTATTAACAACAATGTATCTTATTTGTGTATCTCTCTGCTGTAGATCCTCAAATCATCTTTGAATTGGTGCTGACACTGTCCTTCCTTCTGGAGGGTGGCTACTTTTGTTCCCCATGGTCCCCTGTGTGTGTTGTCAAGTAGCCACCACTCCAAACTCACTCCCGTGATGGACTACAATCTCAATACAAATTAGTAAACGAAATGTGAGATTGTAGTCCATCATGATACAGTTTTGTTAATAGTTCAGGTACTTGAATGTATTTTTAAGATATAACTCCAGAGTATAGTGTCACTTTAATCCATTGCAGGGAAATGAAATGAAAATTAAATGGAAAGATTGATGTAAAAAGGATCAAATGTATTTTCTCCCTGCTAATAAACATGCTCTGAAACTTTATCTGAGCGTCAATTAAGCATTTTAAGTTAATATAATCTTTACTTTTCCCATGGGAAAACATTGTGTGCTGCAGTGTTACATTGAACCACTAGGGGGCGATGAATGCATTAGAGATCATACAAGGTGATTGTAGATGTATTAGTGCACTTGAATCCAACACAGGTGAGTACTGTCCATGGTATTAACAGTTACATTTTCAGGGCAAGCTTTCGGGGGGGCAACCCCCTTTTTCTAAGATCCAAGCAATACTGATACACAAAGGAATATTTTGCTAAACCTTCGTGCATCAGTACTGCTTGGACTTTGGAAAAAGGAGGGTAGACCTCCTGAAAATCTGACTTTTAGTGCAAATGAAAAAGTATCGCAGACAGTACTCAATACTGTACTCAGTACTGACAGTATGACTGTTTACATACAATGCTATTGATGTCTACATTTCTATCGCTGTACTAGCTCCTACTCTGTGTAAGCTCTTACGAGCAAGGCCCTCCTAACCCTCCTATACTGAAATTGTATTGTAACTGTACTGTCTCCCTCCATTTTCTAAAGTGCTGCACAAACTGTTGCCGCTATATAAAATACTGTATAATAATAATAATGATAATATTGTAGACACAACTCCTTCCATCTCCTGATGAAACAGATGCTCTGATCCACGGCACGTGTTTAATTTAGCCTCATCCTACTGCTATCATTCAGCATCAAAGAGAGGATTCTTGTTACTTGTTATGTTCGATCACTCTTTTCAATATAAAAGTAACAGTATGTTAATTTAGCTGAGCAGTGGGCAATTCAAGGTATATATCACTGTAACATTGTATAGAGACTTCCTGATGAAGCAAATCCTATGATGTGGGGCACTTGTTGAGTTATCCTCACCCTACTGCATCATTCAGAATCAAAGAGTGGATTTACGTCACCTCTGATGTTAGATTACTTTTTGATACATAGGTTTTATTGGTATATTATGGAGTGATTAAGTGTATACAGTGTATCTGTGTATCATTGTAGATACACCCTTCTAATATCTTCTGATCTTGAGCACGCATTAAGTTATCCTCATCCTCCTGCGTCATTCAGCATTAAAGTGACATTAAACCCTCAGATTTTTTAACATAAAACAATACTGTAATGTGCGCCTTACTGTAATCCATGGTTGTTTCCCTTCTCTTTGCTGCTCTTCCTTTTAAATCCGTATCTCTTCTCATGCTGGGCAGAACTTCTGTTTTGCAGCAGACTGCCTTGTCTCTGGAATGGATACATGGTGTCTGTGTGTAGGTTCACAACCTGAGCCAGCACTACAGGAAGAGGCACTCAGCTGCAAAGGGAAGTTCTCCCCCAGCATGAGAAGACATGAGGATTTAAAAGGAAGAGCAGCAAAGAGAAGGGAAACAACCATGGATTACAGTAAGGCACACATTACACTATTGTTTTATGTTTAAAAATCTGAGGGTGTAATGTCACTTTAGGGAGTGGATTCATGTCAACTCTTATGCTAGATTACGTTTTGAAATATACAACCCCAATTCCAAAAACGTTGGGATGCTTTGTAAGATCTACATACAGATTTACAAAACATTGCATTTTGTTTTTATGTAGATTTTACAAAGCGTCCCAACTTTTTTTGGAATTGGGGTTGTAAGTTTATTGGTATATTATTTTAGTTTGCAGGCAACTGAGGGAATACATATATATTGGTGGTATTACTGACCCTCTTTTGAATATGTCATGCAAAATCAGATCTGAACCCTTCTTCATGATCTTATGTGAATTTCATATTCATGCACATAAAATGTTTCATTTTTCTAACATGGATTCTATGCGTTTTGCACCTTAAAAAACATGTATTAGACTCTTTCTTTCAACATTTCTTTCAAACACAAGAACATTTAGAGCTCTGATCAGTCTGACCTTTCAATCTCCATTTTTTGTCAATGGCCACTTGACTTCCTGAGTGACACAGCCATATATGATGCAGAAGCCAGTGACAGTAAACCACTTACTGCACAAGTACCTCCTGTAGAGTCATATTACAGGAAATGTCATACAGCTTCTTGGAGAATTAGGAGAATGGATTCACTGAAGCCATCCTAATATTATATAACTAGTTCTGTGCTGATCCCAAGAACCTCAACACATATATTGTGAAACCCAGCTTGAATTCATGACACAGACTCTCTATTGTGCACCATCCAGCTATTTTGTGTACCATCCAGCTAAATGATAATAATAGCATTTCACTAAACATTATATAGTAGATGTGCATTGAACACGGTTCACTGCTCATGGACAAGGAAGTCAAGAGAGCGGGAAATTTCCTGCCACCAGCCTAAGTAGTGTTGAAATATTAGGTTCCGTTCATTGTGAGTGCGTGGGCGTTAAATATTTATTCAAGTCATGTTGTATGTGTGGTATGTGTGGTGAGGGCCTAGGAACATAAAATACATCAGTGATAAGTCGTCAAGGAGGCAACTCGGTACACAAACTTTGTGTTTCTTGTACGTAAGAATGTTACTCTGAGCTTGGTATTTGTCAGATAGAAAACTGGTTCATACCGACTTCAGACCTATTTACAAGTTGTATAAATGTCTTCCATTTTACTTTAAGGTTTCATAAAATAGGAGCTTTGCATCTTTTAAATAAAACTTCACAAAATGATTTTAAAATTCAATTCCCCAGAAAGTTTTGTGGCCACCGGTCTTCTCCAGTGTTGATAGAGAACCAGCACCATTCAACCCACTTCCTGTGAGCCAGGGCTGTCATGAACACAACTTTTACTGTAATACCCATCAGTGCTGTCCTCCTAAGAAACTCTGCTACACTGCCGACCACCGGACTTCTCCAGTGTTGGATCACAACCAGAATCATGCAACCCATTTCCTGTGAGCCAAGGCTGTCATGGACACAACTTTCACTACAATACCCACCAGTGCTGTCCTCCTAAGAAACTCTGCTACACTGCTGGCCACCGGTTTTCTCCAGCGTTTAATGACACCCAGAATCATTCAACCCACTTCCTCTGGGCCAAGGCTATCATGAACACAACTTTTACTAGAATATTAACCAGTGCTGTCCTCCTAAGAAACTCTGCTACACTGCTGGCCACCGGTCTTCTCCAGCGTTTAATGACACCCACCCACTTCCTCTGGGCCAAGGCTATCATGAACACAACTTTTACAAGAATATTAACCAGTGCTGTCCTCCTAAGAAACTCTGCTACACTGCTGGCCACCGGTCTTCTCCAGTGTTTAATGACACCCACCCACTTCCTCTGGGCCAAGGCTATCATGAACACAACTTTTACTAGAATATTAACCAGTGCTGTCCTCCTAAGAAACTCTGCTACACTGCTGGCCACCGGTCTTCTGCAGGGTTGGTTGACAACCAGAATCATTAAACCCACTTCCTGTGGGCTAAGGCTGTCATGGACTCACCTCCTAGAGGTGTGCCATTATGCCAGCCTGGGCTCACAGTACAATACTGCAGAGAGCAGCTGCGATGTCCCACCGTTTCACAATATTGAGAACTGCCCTCCACCATCCCCAGAGCAGAACATCTAAAAATTATTTTTTACATGTGCTGTGTGAATGGGAACATATAACAAACATATGTGTTTTCAGGGTCCATTCACTCCTTTCTGTGGATGCACAAGCATTGACGCAAACCTTTTAGTGTTTTTGTAGTGCCTCAAGACATAGAAAAACACACCTGCAGTATTTTTTACAACAAAGCCCGCTACAGTGCACAGAGTATACACATCTGTGCATCGCGGTGCGCTATAGTGCACGTGTGTGGGGTTTTTCTTTTACTGTATACGACTTCAATATATACAATGCACTACAATGCATATATACCTGCAGCTTGTCAAACTGCAAGACACAAGTATTAATCCAGCCTTATACAACCTTCTATACTTTTATATGTAAGTGTAAACTCTCGCTTAACAAAAAGTAATGAAATAAAATTAAAAAATGCAAAAGTACATTAAAAGAAAATCTTGATCGCATAATGTGAGTGAGGTCTTATCTGAACTCCCCATGGGAAGCAGTTAATAAATATGAGTGTATTGCATAGCGATAGGACATCTGATGATATAGCGCAAAGCATATTACGTGGGGCTGAGCTAATCAGGTTCCAGGGCTGTAGATGGTTCATTTGGGTCAGGTCATTGAACCACAAAATCTGATTGGTTGATGCAGATCGGCACGCATTCCTCATCATCACTATCTTTGAATAGGTTCATGTGATTCACATTGTTACATCACTTACTGATTCAGATGAGTCCGAATGGTCTTGGATTGGGAGATGCCGGTTCATACCACTTTTAGGTCCCACAGGGGGGTGAGGAGAAAAAGCAGGAAATGTTTCTTCTCTGACTTTGCTGGAATGATCCACCTGCAAAATACATTTGTGTTTTCTTCCTTACACAAGAAGAACAAGGAAACATATTCTTCTCTGACAATATAAAGTGTAAGCGTATTGAAACAGTATAAGAGATTGTAAGCTCCTTGAGGGTAGGGACTGATGTGAATGTGCAACTATGTAAAGTGCTGCGTAAATATCGGCGCTTTATAAATACCTGTAATACATAAAAAATAAATAACACAATTATAGCGGATGGTGAGACCCACACCGAGGACATGATAGAAGTACATGTGAGCAAACATTGCCCTCTAGTGTTCATTTTCTGCTCATGTACAATTCAGGAATTATTATTATCAAAGCATGTGCTTCAACATGTGTGATATGTCATGTGTAACAGTGTAAACGTGTGTTGCATTAAGGCAGCCCATTACATTTAATGTCCTTCTGACGCAACAAAACGTCCTAAAAATCAGATACACTGCAGCATACTTTGTGCGTTGCCTTAGTGCATTGGGGTGCTAGTCAAAATGAATGAAATTACAATGCATTAATGAATATAAATGTTGTGGGAAGCACATGTTAACTCGTGTGTTGACACTTTGGCACAATGGGGCTCTATAAAGTGGAATGCTGTGTCTTTGCAAACACCCCGCAAACAGCAATGGGCAACCATTTCTACAGTTATCCCAATTTTTCACAGCATACACAATGGATATTTTAATAGCCTGCCCAGCCATTACAGATATACAGGGAGATTTGTCTATCCTGGAAGAGCATAACCAGTCCCTGTGTACTTCATGTAACTAAACTAGAGTCGGAGAGGAGGGCAGTACAATCAACCCCAATGTATTGAGATTTTCCAACATGCTGGAAGATCTCAGACGTGCTCAAACGTTGTAATAGCCCATTTACACTCTCCCCATGGAAGGCCAATCTTATTCTCCTTTTCATTCTACCACTGTACACTCTGCTGAGAGCAGCAAGCCCAGTTCCTATTCAGATGGTGGGCCAAAATTACCAAGCCTAAGCTGAAGTTTTACCTTAATTCTTTGCACTCGCTCCTTTCTTGCGAATGTTTCCAGCTTTCTCTTGATGTCGATTTGGTGTCGTCTCTGGCACAGGAAAAAAGTCAGTTATTTTACTGGAGTAAACTAAATTTGGCAAATATGTGTAAGGACCTGTTGCTATGCGCTGAGGTGCAAGGGGTGTAGTACCCTTAGTGTCCCTCCAGGCATATCTATCTGCCAGCTAGAGGGTATCCAGTATATAGAGCAGAGGAGGAGTCTTCCCAGGATTTGGTTGGTAAAGGAAGCTGAAAGAGAAAGGGAAGCAGGGAGAACCTCATTGTCCCTTCATTGGGCCTTCATGGGATAGACAGAGCCGCTCCTAGCAAGATGTAGCTTCCCGGATTTTCAGTGTTCCCCTTGGGGGTATACAGGTGTTCTTCTTCCCACCAGTGCAGCTGGCCACTCTATTAAGAAAGCACTCTATCCTGTGGCACCAGCCTGAGGCAGACTGACCACAGGCATGGAATTGTAACTGGAATGCTACATTCATCAATTAAGTAAAGATAAGACATGTTTAAGTTAAGCATGGGCTGAGTCCCTTCATTCTAGGAATGAAGTGTGGTCTATACCTGGGGAACTCAATGGAACAGTCAGTTCAAGACAGAAGTGAGTGGAGATCTGGTAACGGCAGGTCAGTCATTGGCACTGGCTGGGTAGGCTCCCCCGGTGTAGTTGCCAGGCCATCTAAGCCCCCATGTGGCATGGGCCTCAAGGGAGTGATGTACACCTTCTAGGGACTGGAACCACAAAAACAGCAGAGGCCCCCTACAAATTGAGGCCTGGGTCCAAAGTGTAAACCTGTATATGTATAGAACTGGCAAGGCGAGTTAGGACCTTCGGCTCACGGGCCCTGCAAAGCTATTGTGGGCTCCCTGGCCAGGACCAATTTAGTGGCCAGGGGCCCCCCCTCTCATTGATCCCTTTCTAGGTTTATACCGCAGGCCTCATTACCATGTCTTGAAATTAAAAGGCTTTAATGCTGCAAGTTCACTCCTGGTCAGTATATTAACTGATTACTGTTCTGGGAGTTAATAAAAGCCTTGTTATCTCCGGAATGTAACAATTGCACCAAATTTTGGTAAGCCTGTCAAAGATCAGCTAAAGTTCAAGCTGCTGGCCGTTAAGCAGGTAGTATAAACACATATAGTATGACGCATAGCATGACAACTTCTATCCTGCAGCAATGGGATCTGTACTTTTCAAAAGTTTCTAGAGGCATTTGGAAGAACTAAGAGCAACATAGAAACTACATGAGACTGTTTTGTGCTGATATATTATTAATTTCCACACAACGCATGGCTGCCAGGACAATGGGGACCCATGAGAAAAAAGAAGAAGCGGACAATGACAAGCTCGTGTTAGTGTCCATTGATTCTGTGCTGCCTCCGATACAGGAATAATGTTACAATACTGTCCAATCTCACATCACAACTGGCTAACTCTTCCACTCGAGGACTGAAAACCAACAGGTCCCGTGCTACGGCTCAGGCTGCATGTTTTCTAAGGTGACACTAGGGGAATTTAGAAGTTCATCAGTCCCTGTCTCCTGAGAGCCCAACTCTCAAAATAAAGCATCCCCTGGGGCAAAGGAGCATGCAGAGGGCAACTGTGTGCTAGACTCTTTTGTATCTAATAAAGTGGACCTGAGAGAAATACAGGGCTGCTATTGCTGACCTCATTGTGGAATGCTACCTGACTGGCTGTTATGCTGAGCCAATGGTTTCAGTACTTCTAAATCAGGCGTGACCATCAGGAAAGTTGAAGGAAAGTCCTTACTTGCATTCCTGTTCTTCCAAGGCTATGCATTGAAGCTACTGAATCATCATGCTATGGCTGGAAATGGGAGGTCAGCAATGTCTTATGAAAAGTTTCTTTACCTGTTCACCTCCTATAGGGTCATTAGAAAGTGGGGATCACTAGCACTCAGAAGATGACGTTCAGATCGTAGTGTTCATTTATTCAAATACATTGTCACATATATTACATAGCCAACGTTTTGGGGCCGCACAGGGTCCCTTCATCAGGGTAACATTGTCACTACACTACCACCATTGTTATTGGTCCTAGATGCTGCAAGGAGTGCAGGGGACACATCCGTATACTACTCCTATCGGGTCATGTCACACTTGCAATCTTGTCATTGGCAACAGGGTCCCTAAAGAGAGCGCTCACTTGCTCCTTCAGCTTTGCTCCATCTTTGGATGAAATTATGCATAGTCTTGTTCACCCGCTAGGTGGGAGTGAAAGAGTGACACCTCATTAATTTGTCCAGTGATGGACATTGCCTCAGTAAGTAAGCCAACAGTAAGGGCACAACACCCCACGAGCACAAGCTATACCTCTTTAATTTGGCCAGCAATGGAGCAATGATGGAACAACACCTTGCTAATTCAGCCACGGAGGGAGTTACGCCATAGTAGCAGGTAAGTGCTCTCTCTGCTCTCCTAGTGATCCTGCCACTGGCAAGTTGCCACCAGTGACAAAATTCCTCAGGGATATGACATGGGCCTTACAAATTACCTTTTAATCCAACACTACATGAGCACCCTATAAGTTATTTTAAGTTATTTTACAAGAAGAACAATTTTACAGTCTTGCCCACGATTCTGGCACTGTTCTTCTGTCTGGGGGGCACTCACAAAAGAAGCACAGCCCTGAGTTCCACATTAAAAATAAAAAGGGATTGTGGGAGACAACATAGAAGGAACAGTGACCATAATTGTGATGGAAGTGACATAGCTCCAAATGGAAAGTATAGTGTATTTTCAATGAGCTCATAATGTGTATAAGTTCCTTGCTCACCTCCATGTCGAGAACTTTGTGAAATATGGCCTGGGCCAGACATTCCCGGATGTACTTCTGATGGTCCCGTCTCATGGCATTAATTCTGTATTCTTTTTCAGTGAAGATCCTACCGCTTCTTGTGACCTGAAACATAACCCAATGAGATTATTATAGTGATAAAGAACAATCCGCATTATATGTTTTACTGATGATTAAATTGCATTACTAAGCGGTTATATGCTTATGTTAGGTGCTGTATACAATATCAGGTTGCTAGAATGACTTTGCAGAAAGATGTTATTAGAACTAATGTTTTGTTCGCTGGATCCTTAGAATGGCCAGTTGTGGAACATGGAAACAGTTTCCTAATTCTATAGTGAGCTATTTGAGACATCTGGTAAGGTGTTCTGAGAAACGAATGTCTCTTGTAATTACTGATGTGCTGCTTGTGAAAATTCTTAGGTAAATGATTTTATATTTTAAATGTTTGTTTGTGAAGGTCTTACATGGCAGCTCTCCAGGACTGGAGCTTGGTAAGATCCTTGGTGCACCTGCCATATCTAAAGGATCTCCACACATGCTATTTTCTCTGGTTTCTAGCCTTTATTCTTACTTTGTAACTCTTTTCTTCTAAGTAAACACCATGGGCAGAGGTTGTTCATTCTCTGCATTTCCGTTTATTCGGAGCCTACACAAGGCAAGCCCCCCCCCCTCTCCAACCCTATATAACAATACAACACCTAATTCTGGCTAATGGCTGCACTTAGGCACCCAAATACATTATGGGAGGAAGGATCCAATGTTTCCCATACTTGGAATTACCTAGTATTTTACTTCAATAAAAAAGTGCTTATAAAGGTGGGGAGCAAACAGAAGGTAAGAATAACTATTGGAAGAAAAGGTTGGTTTGCTTTTCATTGTACTTGTCTGTTCTGAATGGGTTGTTTAAGAGAAAGGACTATTGTTTTTCCAAACTTGCACTGGGTTTTGTTATGGGATCATTTAGAAACAAATAGTGCTCAGTGGTTATCTTTTTAAAAGGGACATGCAGTAATCCTAGTCATAGTAAATCTCCTCTGGCAAAGCAGTCACTTGCAGGTGCCTACCTTTTGTTATCAGGTAGAGTGCCATAGTTGTCCCAAACCCCAAAAAACTCTATTATACCAATACCCACTTCAGCTAGGAATGCAACACTTTGAAGCAAGCACTTTACTACTGGTGCATTAATGTAATGGGCACCACTCTAACCAACAGTGAGGAGGGAGGGGGCAGGCAAAAGCTCCCACATTCCCATCCTAGCTGAAGCCGGTATTTGCATATGACAATAACCCTTGTTGTGAGGCTCCTGGGACAAGATGGCACATTTCCAAAGATGGCACTTCATCAACCAAAGAAAAGCCCAAATGGTGGGTGGGCTTCGCTCAGCTCTTACCGGAGAAGCAGACATTTGCATAATCAAGCTTTTCCCCACAATTCCTACCGCTCAAGCCTTTCCTTTAACCAAAATGCAGAAAGTGTTATTATTTGCTGGTCAGTTATAGCAATCTAAAATTCTTCCATTTGGAAGTTAGGGGCATGGCCAACTTTGACTTTCTCAGCAAAGTCGAGATTTGCTTCTAACTTCATGTGCCCATGATCATTTTGAATTGTGGTTTCAACTGAAGATAAACTTTGATTATACATTTTTTCATCCTATGTTCATCATGAGCTTCTCAGGTGATAGCTTTACTTAGAAATGATTCAGCTTTCCATTTCACGATTAATGCCATGGGGCATGTTAAAAAACAACTTCTCCATTTACCGTTTTCTTAAGCGACTGCCACCTGAAACAGCCAGTCTCAAAGCAGAAAAGGGTATAGCTTGGTCAATTACACAATGTAAACAGTAATACAAAGCAACAAATTGCATATGTTTCCAGAGATAACTTATCAGGAAGCAAGATAAATCTGCTCGAGGGAGACACATCTAAAATTAAACCACATCATTGGTGAGAATAGCTAGATTCTATGGTAATGATAACCTACCAGACCAGCCCTCTGAAGATGTCGCCTGATGCGGGTGTTGTTGAAGTATCCCGTTAGGTGTTTGTCTGTGAGGCTGTTGTAGCCTGACAGTGGCCTGAAAGACAAAAAAATACACTGTCACAACACACTGCAATACATTGTCATACCACTATGTCCCAGCTCCATCTCACATAAAGATCCTCACAGTCCAACACAGCCATATGTTTTACATATTTGTTTAGAATACAACATAGTAGGTCTGCAAGCAACTAATCAATAATAATCGATTATGAGAATAGTCATCAACAATTCTTATTATCGATTAGTTGGTTGGATCCCCTAGCTCTCTCCTCCATGCTGGGAGGAGGGCACAGCAAGCAGTGGGCGGGTGCAATAGCCAGCCTGCTATTGGCTACTGCAACTTGAAATAGCCAATAGTAGGCTGGCTATTGCACCCACCTACTACCTGCTGCATTTACATTCAGCTGCCGTCTGCGGAAACTTGCCACCATCAGATGTCATTCCTGGGCTGAAGCTATTCAAGCTATTCAACAATATATAAAAGGCAGGAAAAAAGTAATTTTTGGTTTTGGCCTGACAAATTCTGCTGCGGGAGGTACGTTGTAGTGCCATTCATTTCAATGGCACCCCAAACGCGCCTCCCACCCACAGTGTGATTGCCCAGGCTGGATTGCACGGTACAGCAATTCTGTGCATTCCAGTGCTATGTAATTGCAAAAAAATTGTACATGCAGTTTTATTCTGAAGTAGACTTTATGTTTGTTACACTCCATTTGTGTATTTGTGGTATTTATTACATTTTTCTTGTCCAATTAATCAAAAAAATTATTGGCCAACTAATCGTTTTTTAACATAATCATTAGTTGCAGCCCTATAACACAGTTATAGTTCGTTGGGTGCTATGAAAATGCAGAAAGTGTTATTACTTGCTGGTCAGTTATAGCAATCTAAAATTCTTCCATGCGTACAAAAGCCCAAAGGATAAAACCGGGCGACCTTGATAAAATTGAGGAGTGGGCAGCATCATGGCAGATGAGTTTAAATATAGAAAAATGGGACTACGAACTTGGGAGCTCAGAACATGCATTCAAAATACTCTTTGTGAGGTGATTCTCCGAGGAAATCGGGGCTTGGAGGAAGATCTGGGGGGTTCTTATAGACCAGGGGTGCCCATTAGGTAGATCGTGATCTAACAGTAGCTCTCAAAGCTGAAGCTGGTAGATCACGAAGGGTGTGAATGGCGGCCCCTTTATTCCATTTTGGTATATTTATTTAGCTGTGCACACATGATTACCTATTAGCCTGAGTCTGCTGAGCCAAGCTCCCTGACACCTTTCTGGTGGATACTGATGGTTGAAGTGCTATGTATTACATCAAAGAATATTAGTTTACACAGCCTGTTGCACTGCACTGTTTGCAAAATACAGCTTAGTGAGCCAGGAGAGAGAGCGGGAAGAGACAGACAGGAGAGAGAGGAAAGACAGCCAGGGGAGAGAGAGCACGGAGAGACAGCCAGGGGAGAGAGCAAAAAGAAACAGCCAGGGCAAGGGCGTAACTAGAAATCACAGGGCCCCATAGCAAAATTTTGTATGGGGCCCCGTGATCGCTAGTCATGCCACTTGCAGAGCCCCAGCGGAGAGTGACCCTTCAGAGCCCACCATAGACTCTCTATAGTGGGCTCTGCAGGGTCTGAGATCTCTTACCTGTCAGAGCCTTTGTGGTCGCTGGGCCCCGCCTCCTCTGCTATCGACGGGCCCCGCCTTCTCTTACATCACTGACCCCACCTGCTCTTAGGTCGCTGGCCAGTGATGTAAGAGGAGGTGGGCCCCGCCTCCTCCATTCCGAACACCGCCCTCATCTGCCGCAGCGGCTGGCTGTCACTGACACAGCTCCGCAGCGGCTATGAGGGGAAATGCGCCGTGGCCGTTGCTGAGCTGTGTCTGTGACAGCCAGCACCCCCACATGCCATAGCGACCCAGGCGGCCCTGGCCGGGCCCCCCTGTGCCCGAGCCCCATAGCGGCCGCCTGGGTCGCTATGGCGATTGTTACGCCACTGAGCCAGGGGAGAGAGCAAGGAGAGACAGCCAAGAGAGACAGCCAGGAGAGAAAATGAGGAATGACAGCCAGGAGAGATAGAGTGAGGAAAGACAGCCAGGAGGATGAACAAGGAGAAAGAGCAAGGAGAGAGCAAGGAGAGACAGCTAGGAGAGCGAGGAGAGACAGCTAGGAGAGCGAGAGCGAGGGAGGCTTTTTTTTCAGTGGTAGATCTCATGTAACTCGTCATTTGAAAAGTAGATCTTAACACAAAAATTGTGGGCTCCCCTGTTATAGACCATAGACTCAGCAACAACATGCAATGCCAAAGTTGCAGCTAACAAAGCCAGCAGAATACTATTATCTTGCATTAAAAGAGTGATTTTTTCAGGGGATAGAAATTAAATTCTACCACTTTATACAGCACTGGCTAGGTCACATCGCGGCTCAGTTTTGGTCACCAGTCCTCGGGAAGGGATGTACCTGAGCTATAGAAAGTTCAGAGAAGGGCAACAAAATTAATAAGGAGGTGGAAGGTCTGAGTTATGAAGTTTGACTACAAAAATTAAACTTGTTCTCCTTAGAGAAGAGACGCCTGAGGGTAGATATTATTGCAATTTACAATCTCATCAATGTGGACGGCAGCATTGGGAATAAACTGTTTAAACTAAGAACTCAGAAGAAGACATGAGGGCACAAGGAGAAGTTGGACGAGATTCAGTATAATCTCAGGCAGCACAAAAGGTTTTTTATTGTCAGAGCAATGAAAATGTGGAATTCCCTTCCACAGTTAGCTGTATCGGCTGAAAGCAATGATAACTTCACAGGACATTTAGATGAGTTTCACAGATTACAGAATATCCAGGCTGTGACGGTTCCAGGCCTGTTCAGGGTAAAATAGGAGCTAAATTGCACCCAAGGTTTTCCCTTATACAAGTTCAGAGGCTCCAGGAGACATATTACAGAGGGAGAACACTAGCTTTTTTCTACGCTGGTCAGGGTTCTGGAACCCGGACACTTTGGAGAGACTTGGGTGGGATGAAGCCTCCAACCCTGGGTCCATGTTTTAGTAGTGACCAGCACCCAGTGATTGGACAGTTGTGCACAGCTCTTAAAGTGACACTAAACTCAGGAGTTAAATCTTAAAATGCATTCAAGTAACTCAAATATTAAGAAAAATGTATCTTATTTGTGTATCACTCGGCTGTAGATCCTCCAATCATCTCTGAATTGGTGCTGACACTGTCCTTCCTTCTGGAGGGGGGCTACTTTTGTTCCCCATGGTCCCTGTGTGTGTTGTAAAGTAGTCACCGCTCCAAGCTCCCTCCCGGAATGCACTACAATCTCATGTTTAGTTTTCTAATTTGTACTGAGATTGTACTCAGTGCAGGGATGGTGGGGACCCTTTATAATGGGCACAGCAGTTGTACAGACCCAGGAACTCAGCTCACGGATGGTGGGGGTCCATCATAATGGGCACAGCAGGTGTACAGACTCGGGAACTCAGCTCAGGGATGGTGGAACCCTTCATTATGGACACAGCAGGTGTACAGACCCCAGAACGCAGCATAGGGATGGTGGGAGCCCCTCATAATGGGCACAGCAGGTGCACACAGACCAGGGAACGCAGCACAAGGATGGTGCGAGCTCATCATTATGGACACAGCAGGTGTACAGACCCCTAAACTCAGCGCAGATATCTCACCAACAGACTCCCCAAGATATAGAAGAGACTGACAGGTGGGTTACAGCTTGCACCATCAATTGAAATATCAGTTATAAGTGGACTAACCCTTTGAATTAGTATGAATGGCACCACATCACACCAACACACCATGCATTGTTGCATTCTACTGCGTGAACACACCCTTACATTCAGCTTTTATGGATTGCAGCTACAGGGGTCGCAAATTACACACAAAACTGTTGCCAATTGTTTGCGGAAGGAGAGACAATGTGATCTGCATTATCCAGGAGCGGATTCTGCTGGAAGCTTGATACATCCACCTCTGTGTGATTTACATCCAGAGAAGACAAATTGCCTGCACAGACACACACATAACAATCGTGCATCAAACTGTCATTGTTCCTCCAATTATAATGGAAATTCGTCGTCAGTGACGTTTTGCGGAGGAGACGGTGAATGGAGGGGAATGTGGGGGTGGGATGTAATCTGCCTCATTTCATCTCCGTTATTGACACATTAAGAGTTATTTTAGGGAATTCCGCCCACAGGGAAGATGTTAGACACTAAATGGGACAAAGCATTCTGCAACCAGCCAGCTTTAAGAGAAAAGTTTTGAATCTGAGTCATGACTTTTAAAAAAATAAATAAAGGGGGGGGGGGG